AAACAGACTTCGACACTTCATATGCATAATGAAATCTCTAGTCATGGAGTAGATTGGTCACATCACCTGCCTCTTTTTCGATATTCTCCTTATTTCATTTAAAAGAGCATACCTATATAAACAACTCTAACTATCTGTTTATAGTAGTCTATCTAACTTTATTGATGGGTTTGGTTTCTTTGCTTATGAGGATTGGGACTTCTCGCTTCTCTTTCTATTCTACTTAAAGTAAGGGCTATTATCTTTTATAAGCTGGGTGGCATCCAGAGCAACTAGGGTGGCTAACTCTGTTACTCATTTCCTTGTCAGTAATAGTCAGAAGATATCCGAGTTGGTAATGCATTTACATTAGACAAAGAGGTTACCTTAACTCATTTAAGTTGATGCATTTTTCATAAAGTGTGAACACTATGAATTTTTTTTAGAGTTGTTTTCTTGGCGGTGCTCTAAATTAGAGTATGCATTGACAAAGGTGTTGATTTTCCCGAAGAAGGGAAGAGTGTTACAAATGTGATTGTGGGCATCAAAAGTTATTTGTCAGCTAGTGTTTTCAAATATTCTTTCCTTACTGCCACAACAGCAAGAGGTTGGTATTGTGGACCTTTTATCAGTCTCTCTTATGCAAGTGGAGTTAATTAGGCATTTCTGAGAGTACTTAAACCAAATGAGCATAAGGATGGAATTCCTACGTATTATTAGTTAAGCATATTTAACCTAATAAAGAGTTCCCATTTCGTTGTGTCTTGCACTGGCTAGTGACAAGAACCCCGCAATATTGAGCTTGGTCTGTCAATATTTGCAAGATGATAGTTTATCGTGTCTACTAAATACCCTTGCTGTCATGCACCATATGTTAGTTACATTCGGTCTCAATTGCTATTTATGGAAAGTGTTTAAATTTACTAATTTGGCATATCTACGGAATATAGAGATTGTTTTGACACAATGGTATTGGTCCCGCGTCTAAATTTGCAATCTAACACCATTCCATATTTAGTAAGTTTTGAGTTAGCCTTAAAGACTAACTCCTTGTACTAAGGGTGAAAGCCAAAAGTGTGAGTTCCTTAAAGGCGGGGGAGTGATGGGGGGTTCCAAATGTATAGTAGGGATAGTGGGTAAGCTAACCAACTTAAGGTATAGTCTAATTCCTGTTTGCGTACCTGCCTTTGTTTTGTGTCTAACTTGAGTCTAAGCCCAAGTTCCACATTATGCTAGCTTATGGAGTACCCATATTCTCACGTTAAGCCACCAATAAAACCACATACACTACAAAAGCCCTACGAGAGTGAGCAAGGGTTGGGGGAAAAGGAATTGAAACTTTGAGTTAAAGATATTAGTGTAAGTGATTAATTTTTCCATTCTACTTTAGTCACTTAACCGCACCTTTGACCACTTGGAGGAGTTTCATTCACAACCTCCATAAGTCCCATTCAGGACTTGGGGCTTACTTGTCCCGAGAATGACATCCATGCCACTCAACCTTTGCACTTGATCCAAGTGCTCCACATGTCTGATCCCATAACCGACACCCCAAGGTACCACTAACATATGAACCCGTTACACTAGGCCACACTCATTCACCTTTGGTCACATCGGTGGTCTAACACCACCTACATTGCAATCCTGTCTCTCCAAGACTAGGCCATTTGTCCATGAGTGGTTATCCCAAATCCACTCTTTAGCATCCTTAAGATGCCTGTGGACATGGGGAATAACCTTCCTTAATATCTCTGTTCCAGTCCTCACCAAGTCCCTTTCTGTCCTTGGCTATGTTCACCAACACTGCCACTAGATCAAGGCCCATGGGCCCGACCACTAAGTCCCACTATCCTCTAGGACTTCCTCACTATGTGATTGTGTCCTTGGTCACTACACTACTTTTCTGTCCTTGGTTGTGTTCACCAACACTGCCACTGGATCAAGGCCCACGGGCCCGACCACTAAGTCCCACTGTCCTCTAGGACTTCCTCACCATATGACTGTGTCCTTGGTCACCACACTAGAGGGCTACTCCCCTTCCTTTCCATAAACTGGGACTTTGGAACAACATTTTGGAACACCATGGCCCTACGCGGGCCTCATGAGTACTCTCTCTGCCTTCCACCTTTAGGTGCTCTAGCCATGGCTTAGAGCGAGGTTCCATTGAGCCACACCAGGTATCCAAGTAGGTAGTGCCACCCACACTTGGACTTGGAGCATCGGCCAGTCGATCTCCCGGGGGAACTAGAGCCGGCTCTTGAACACTTCACCAAGTTACCCTATTTGTCAGTCCGTATCCACTCTAGCCTTGGACTTCCCAGTGGTTATCCCATCACCCAGCATTTGGGCACAACCTTCCTAGGCCAAACTAACCTTTCCTAGCTAAACTAGCTCCACTAGACTCCTCCCCCTCACTATACTATACACTAAACCCCCTAGGGTCTGGGAGACGAATGCTTTGGGCTTTCACCCTCTCAGACTCGAACTCGAACTCGGACTTGGACTCGGACTCGGACTCGGACTCGGACTCGGGTTGGGGCTTGATCTTGACCTCGGCCTTGGTTTCGATCTCAATCCCAGTCTCGGTCTTGGTCCCGGTCTTGGTCTCGGTCTTGGTCTTGGTCTCAATCTTGACTTCGGACTCCATCTCGGGTCCTTCTCAGACTCCATCTTAGGTCCATCTTGAACTCCATCTCAGACATTTCCACATGTCATGTGTTAATCCTCTTGTGTCCCTTTTCTAGAGACTCACTTATTGCTTGCTCCGTACTTGTTCTTTAAGCACTTCGTTGGGAGTTCCACTCTCGCTTTTGACCTTTTAAGTTGGAGTTTTTAGTTCAAATGTGTTACGCTCATTTGGTTTTCGCTTTGGCCACTACCACATGACACCCTTCTGGCTCCACTTTGGGGCCTAGGGATCTTATGTCTCACAATTAGGAGATAGCTTTCATCTCCCAATAAGTGGTGAACTCAACATGATAAACTAGTCTAGTTTTCTTTGGAGAATGACAAATTTTTCTTGACAAATAGAGAGATTTTAGAGTTTTAATGACTAAATTTCTGTTTGAGGGATCTCTAAGACTAATAAAATCTCCCCCTTATACAAATTTAGAATGCAAATTCATAGATTTAAAGTTCTTGCCATTGTTTTTCCACTTTTCTTCATTTCATTTGGTTTTAGAAAGATTTTTAATGACAGAAGCATTCATTTTGGTTGTGCTTTATTTGGATTGAAATGACTTTTCCTTCTATTTTGAACAAGTTAAAAAACACATGATTTAGTGGAGAATCAAGCCGCATGCAAATATTTTTCTCTTGCTATGTTTACAATTTACTTTTGAAGGTTTAAGTTTGAGATTTTGGCACGGATTTGAAGAATTACTTGTGTGGGTGTTTAAATATGGTCATTAAGATTCTAAAGAGCAACTTTTTGCACTCCACTCATCAAGAAAGTGAGAGATTTTTTATTTTTTCTTGCTCTCTTCTTTATTCTTTTTTCACAATTGAGTTCTAGAGCTCTAAAAGTGAGAGTTTTTTTAGCATTCTCTGAAATTTCTTTTGAGGATCTCTCCTTTTGATTTTTTATCTTTCATAGAAGTCCTTTCTTATTAAGGAATTCGCAAAGAATCATAAGTTTTAGTATTTTTTTATCACACATACTATATGGCCGCAACTTTGGGGAATTAATTATTTCTAGTTTCATTGCCATTTTCATCTTTATTAAGTGCATTAGATAGGTCTCTTGTAGATGTTTCTGCCATGTGCTTTCATGCAAGAATTAATACCAATTTGAAAAGTTTGGAGCAATTTCCCACTTCTTCTCATTTATTTTGAGTATAATAGGTGGTTTATGTTGTTTTCACTCAATTTTGAGTAATTTCGGTGAATATTTCTTTCTGTGGCCATGTATTTGGCATTAAAAGTTTTCTGATGCACTCTTTTTCACAATTTGTGATGTTCTAGAGCTCAAGATATTCACATTTTTGTCTTTACAAGATTGTGGATGTTGGTGAGTGACAATTCTTAAGGTTCTTCTTTACATCAAACTTAAAAGATTTTAGGAGCCAAGAATTTTTCATTCTTTGGGAGCACTTTCTACAACCCGGCATTTGCAGTGATTTCAGAATTTTATGCCCATTCATATGCTTTTCCTTAGCCTCCAAAGCCAAAACCCAGTGCCACACTTTCCCTCACATGGATTGTATAAATGCATTCACATTGTCCTCTTATGTGGTTGCTCAAGCAATAGGACGAGAAGGCAGCAACATGATCGTTAAGATCCCAATGTCCGGCTCATAGAAGATAAGCTCCAAGCCTCACTGCAACATGTGAACCTTGCAACATGGATGAGCCATCTTTTCTAGATTCACATCAATTGAGGTGGTGGATCATTAGCTTGCACACAATTCCAAGGTGGAATGATTCCCCTTCTTGGTATCTGTGGCAAAGAGAAAGAACCTGGCTATGGAGATTGCTGCCAGAAACTATAGCTTGCGCTGAGGCCTGAGAAATGTTATAAATACACGTTGAGCAGAGTGGAAGTGAAAACATGCTAGTGCTGTGTCTGAGCAAGATGGAAAATCAAATCACCACAAATGCCCAATGTCAGGACTTGTCATGAAACAGAAATACCACTCTCAAAGAAAACTTGCAAAACACACCTTAAAAGGCTCTAAATGTCTGCAAACTCACCTTCCCTCTAACAAATGTCCCTCTCAGAACTTGGAGCAGACTCAAACAGGGGAAGAACAACATGAAACACAATCACTCTTACACAAAGCAAAGAAGCTGTCATATTGCAAGGAAAGCTCAAGGACTTCCAACCAAATGAAGGACACGGTTTGAGAGAAAGCAGAGCGTGCACACATCCACGCTTTGTGAGCATCACATCTAACACGAGAGTGTCTTGGTCCCAGACTCGGCCTGGCGCGCCACAGACCGGAGGCCTTGTCCCGGAGGTTGTCCTTATTAGCCACTCCAGCCTGGAGATCCAGCTCCTGTGGATCACAATTCAACTCCACTGCGAGAGGAAGATCTGTGGTGACATTCCACCATAAAATCCAGACAGGATCGCTTTGCAGCAGTCCCCCTAAAGGGAAGATAAGCTCCAATGTTGGTGCAAAACACGGTGCTAGATTGACACAACTAACCAATTGTGCAGTTTCATTACCTGCATGGCTTAAAGACAGACCTTAAAGAAAAGAAAAGGCCCAATGCCTGGGCGATCAATTAGAACCTACCAATCAGAGAGAGTTCTCTTTACTGGTTGGTAGAAGAGCAAAGATTATATCTACGATCTGCAAAATCTCCAATAACTGTAGAAAAAAAGAATAAAAACGAATGAAAGTTTTCCACCTGCATCGCTGAAGATGGCCACTTTCTGTTCGGAGCCACTCCCTTTTCAAATCTTCCAGCTCGCTTCCAGCTGCGAGATTTGTCTTGCCGGACTAGCATAAAATCTCTGCAAAAGTGTCAGCACTGCTCTATAAACTTCACCGTCATGCTCTTTGGATGACCATGCTCTGTGATATCCCCTGCGCATTAAAAAGGATTACAACGGAATGGAAGAAGTTTGATTTACCATCGCCAAAGAGGATGCAATTCTTCCGGACACGGCAACTCGCTCAAGACAACTTTCAGCTCGTTATACATCTCGTCTGGAATCCACCGCTGATTAGCATCATCCTCCCTTTCTGCATTACATGGTCAAGGATCGACAAAAATGAAAACAAAGTAGATTACCTCTAGAGAGGCGAGAAAGAACCACCAGCAGAACATTTACCAGGCCAGCCATTCCCGCGTCACCGTCGTAACTCACGGACAACAAAAGCCTGGGAAGCATCGGCTCGAAAGAAGGAAGGCAAGCTCTCTTAGCGTTCAAGTACGTGAAAAGAGACCACCAAGACGTAAAACCTCGTTGTTCGTTTTCTGGCACTGATCCGAGGATCACCGCTGACGAACACCAGCGGAAAAATACGGGAGCGATCGACTCGGTGCCATTTAATTCACTCGTTGCCCACCTCGTGATCGAGCAGAAGCTTTCGTGATCCTGAGATTCAGAAAAGAAGAGAATTCGTTTGCTAAGCTATAAAAGAAAAACGATGTTTACCTGTGTCTCACGCGCTTCAGGTGGTGGACATCGCAACAAGCACTCGAGCGCGCCGAGTCTAGTTTCCCTGTCGCTCAAGAAAGGTTCTGCTTGGACGCTTTGTGCTATGTCGTGCAGACATCGCCAGGACAAGTTGAAAGCCGACTGGTATTTGTTTCTTCGCTGTGAGAGCCTCAACGCGGTGTTTACGATTCGAAACAAAGGCTTGCCACACACGTCCCAGGACGTTGGAGTCACTGTGCTGACGAAATGGAGGAGCATTGACGCGACTTTTGAGAGCTCTTCAGTGCCCTCGGCGAGTAGAAGAGTTTCGATTCCCCTACTTGACAGAAGCAGCTCAATAACCTGCGATGATTGCTTGCTCTTAGAGCTGGCGACAAAAGCAAACTGTTCTTTTACCTGAAAAGACGATTTTGCATCTCCGTCCTCGGAATTGATAGATGGTGCACTCAAAGAGGTGATTGCTAAAGAAGCAAGCCACGAAAGCAGACCAGTGTTATTTATAAGGCTTTTCGCGAACGAAGATATTGCAGCAGCTCTCTTTAAGACCTGTATAAAAAGCTGAGATGAGAATGAGTGGCCAATTAAATTAACTTGCCTTCAAAGTCCATTGCTGAGCAGAGATATCTGCCATTGCCGACGTGCAAAAGCTCATCAGTATCTCAGCTACAAACTGCCGACGATAGATAAGAGCGTCCGCCGATGAAACAAGCCCTGCAATCAGCAGCTTCACAATCCAGTTTCTCTCGCCGCGAGAATTTGTGCTTCCGCTTGTAAACATAGTTTGGAAAAGAGGAATGGCCTGTGAGAAAATCAGCTCTGTTTAAATGAGTAAAAGAAGAAACAACACGTACCTGTAAATCTATGCTGGGGGATCGCAGTATAAACCGATTAACAACAACGTAGTTTGGACTTTCAGGATGCAATAAAATGCAGGAGGCTTCGGCTGCAAACAAAGAGATTACGGATGGTATCCGTTGCCATGGTTGACTGATAGCGTTCTTCATAAACACGAGCAGTGTGTTTATCTGGGACTTTCCTTTAAAACTCTGCACCTGTGATTCATAGAGAAAGAATTTAGAAAACAAGAAAGAACTCACAGGAACTGTACCTCAAGATGCGTGCTAAATGCCACGAGGAGCTCGTAGCCATATTTTCGCATGGCTTCCAAACTGGAGCTCATACTCGCAAACGCAATCGCAAGGAAACCCGACCGTACAAACTCCTCAGCATCGATGCATCCCACAGAGAGAGCATGCATTGCGAACGGCAAGATAAACGCTGGGTCGTAAACTTCCGCGTTCTCTTCTTGTCGAGAATCATCAAATACCTACGGGGCAACAAAAGCATAAATCTCCAAACCAGAGAAAACAATTTTACCTGGACAGTTTCTGGAGTCCACATGTCTCTCTTCATGGGAAAGTGCAACGCCGTGAGGCCACACATCCTCAGATTCAGCGCAAGATCCTCCTTGAACCTACGTTTTCGCATCTCCTCGAGGCTTTCCTGGACTAAATCTTCACCGCCACTCTCCGTCTTGTCTCTCCGCCTCTCCAGAGCAGCGTCACCCCAGAGATAATCCATCTCGCTCATTCCCGAGAACCCGTCACCTTCTGAAGTCTCGATCTCGTGCATCAAACAGAATATCTCCTGGTCGAGAGTGCTTAAAGTTGCACCGTAGGCTACCAAGAGAAGCGATTCCAGCTCCATTGAAGTCTGCCTCGAAGCCTCCCCGACACTGAAGTGTTCTCTGTGACGAACTCGGAACGCGTAGAGCACCCGCAGCAGTCTGACGATATGAAACCTCGCCTCTTCCTCCGAGACCGCGATTGGCACCTCACCCTCACTTCCCCGGTCGTTAAATAGCGAAAGAATTGACGGTATTTCAGTAAGCGCAGTGCCTCTCGCTTTACTCTTCGCCAGCAACGCCTGGACAAACTGCGAATGACCCGTCACGAAGTCCATAACGTCTGTAACCAGCTTGCGAATCTGTGCACCGTCCTCCGCTTTAAACATCTCCAGCAGCTTCACAAACACTCGTTGAAGCGCTCGCATTGCCTCGATCTTGCCAAACCTGAAGCGTAAAAGCGTCTTCGCCATCTTTTTGATCGACTTGTATACGAGCCCCGAGCTGGCAGCTAAAAGCCGCTCCACTGCGTCAGAGCAGGCGCCAAGGAGGCGTTCTTCGAGGAACACCAAACTTCTACTATCTTCATCTTGCTTGCCATCGAACTGCTTGTAGACCGCAGCCATCGTTGAAAGAGAGACGGAGATGAATGTCAACACCTCGGAAGTCGATGATTCATCACCCTGCTCGTGTTGAAGAAGTAGAATCCTCACCAAACTAGCTTTGGCAACCAGCCTGTTTGTCAAGCTTGGAAACGATGAGGCCGTGTCAAGCACCGTTGTATCGTGTAACAGTGAACGAAGTATACGAGACTTCTGCTTCGCTTGAAGAGGACGGATGTCAGCTGCTAGATCCAAGACGCTCACGCTGGTCGCGAGAAAAGACTTCTCATAGTGCTCTTCACCTTGATCCCAGACGCCGGAAGTAGTATCCCAGTCGATAAAACGCTTCGCGAGAAGATCACCGTAGACCTTGCTAAACTGAATGCCGATGTCTTCACTGCAGCCTTTGAAACTTCTGGAGTTCTCGAGAAAGTGCCAAGCCGCCGGTAGAAGTTGCAGAAGATCGCTTTCCGAGACATTAGATCCTTGCTCTGCTGTTTCCAAACTCAAGCCAGCCACCCGACGTCCAAACTCCACCATCATCACCGGGTTCTCTCGCACGAGATGAGTGACAATCTCAGCTTTCACTCTGCTTGCGTTTCGCATGCTGCAGTGCAAGACTTCTACAGGTACGATCGCTGCCAGGAGTTTCGTTGGCAGAAGAACCTTCATAGCCATAAGGAGGCACGAACTCGCAATCTCCAGCGACGATACCATGGCAAGCTCGAGAGTTGCATTGAATATTTGAGCGAGCAGATCTCCATGACTTTCATACCACCGCCTGTCCTCCGATGAGTCTTGACACTTTTGAAAGCCAATGCTCGAAAGATAAAAGGCCACCAGCTGATACGAAACCATCTCGGGCAACGACGATTTTTCTCCGGACGTAGTTTTGGAAACCACTTTGCTTAGGACCGCATCCATGAGCCTCACGAACAAGTCCCGGTTGAGATACGGCGCCAGGGTCGAGATAAACAACAGTGATGCCGAAGGGACGACTTGTTTCCCTTCGGAAAGACTTTCTTCCAGCTCTGCGATGAATGTTTCCGTAGCTCGTTGAGTCAGAACCTCGCAATAACTACGTAAGGAGTCCCCGGAGTGTGATAACAAGAGTTCGAGCAAGAGAAGAACGTGATAGTTTAGCGGATGTAGCGACTTCATAAAAGTTCCCATCATCTGTTTTAGCTCGTCATGGCCAGCTGAAGGACAGATTTTCCACTGAAGCTGCTCCTGGATTTGCGTCTCCTTTGATAGAAACTGGACACTGATCACGGGATGAGAGAAGACGTCTTTCGCTAGTTGCTCCATGTCACCCGGTTGTAGTCTCTGGCTCAAGGCTACCATTGCTCCCAGCAACTTAAAAAGAGCGTCGTACTGCCTTGACCCCCGGGCATACTCGTCGTTGATACTATGCAAGAGCATTCGAATGGAAATTATAACTTCGGCGTCCGATAAGCGTGATATAGCTTCCAGCAGCATACTCTCCATCAGTGGGACGTTCAAGAACTTCCCATGGTTATAACACGCAGCCCGAAACAGGACCGTGAACGAGCACTGTCGAAGTAGAGAAGACAGTAAATGTACCTGGTGACCGTCGGTCTCCATAGAGACCGGGTCCGCAGAAAACAAGTCTGGCACCTCGGATAAAACTTCAGGATATGCTCCAATAAGAGACTTAAGAACTGTAAAATCACCGGCGAAGGTAGCGTTGAATACTTCCAGGAGCTGGTGAAAATTCGCGATGAGCTCCGTAGGATGAACGCAATACAAAGACCTTGCAAACGCAAAGGCTTTGACGGCGCTTGGAGTAGACTCGTCTTCGCGGCACGTTTCCAAGAGATCTTGCAGCTTGCTAAACGAACAAGTTTCCCTCCGGGAAACACTCTTCTTTCTTTCCGAAACAGAAGTAGCCGCAAGTGAACGCAGCAACAGTTTCAGCGCAGTCCACTCGCACGCATTTGGCTCACAGTTGCTGCTCAGCATTGCCGTGATAACCATCGCCAAACTGCGAGGGTACACCTATGTCGATCAACGCTTTAGCTATCAAAAAGTAAAACAAAGAACAAGGACCAACCTGAGAATGTAAAAGCAAATCTAAAACATTCGCGAGGTAAGCTGATATAGCTGCCTTTTGAGGTATCTTTAAGCTCTTGGCCTCAGGACGGGCAAGACGCACGAACGCATCCAATGAGCAGACAACCAAAGGTCCAAATTCATCACCTAGAGAACAGAAACTTAGCAGTAAGTACACGTTTCAAAGCAAAGCAGTGGCTTACCCACCAGTTCCTTTCGTGAGTAGAGAATGCAGCTGGTCCATATACTTGTAGAGGTTTCTCCCGACGTTCAGCACCAGGTCACACAGGAATGTAGCGATGGTCTCGTCCAAGCTACCATTCGGCCAACCAGGCAAGTTGTGAAGCCAAACCGAGATCTCGTACGGGTTGTTTTCAAACGCACCAGTGCTGAGCAACGCTTCGTCCAGAAGAACGTGAGCTTTCTGGCGTAACTCAACGGTTTTCAAGCTTACCACTAGCCTGGTCAGCAGCTTGGAACTTGTGTAAAGACCATCCCCCAGCGCGCCTGAGCGTCTTGCTAACAGCAACAGTGCCACAAGAGAGTGCTGCTGAGACGAACTAAGGCACTTCGCGTCCTCTGGTACGAACTTGAGAGGATCGAAGTTGATGTCTCTTAGCGCAAGAGGCAGAACAACCTACAGTATGCACGTCAATTACCAAGTAAAATGGAAAGCATTTGTTTACCAAGTACGCACGGAAGACATCGAGTAGCTTAGCTTGCAAGAAGGTCGTGCCATCTTCTTCTTCGGCAAAGTCTTCTCCCCATATCTCCTTCAATCTTGTCAAGCTTGCTTCCTTGTGCTCAAGCTTTACTGCGATGCCGCTGGTAGATTTCAACCTCTTCTTCACGCCATCTTCATGAGAATCGTCGCGTTTCCTCTTGGAGCCTGTGGTGCTTTTAAACGAGGAATGCACAGATACCAGAGTCTGACCATCTGGTAAGACCGTCCTCGCCTTGTCTTGGATGTAGGTTCCAAGTTTCATCCAATCTTCTGAAAACTCGGAGCCTTGTCGTCTACTTTGTATGGCTTGCAGCAGCCTCTCCAGCACCGCAAGTACTTCCAGCAACAGCTTCAAACAGGCATGCGTCACCATACTGTCGTCGTGAAGAAGGGCCCTGTTGACCAATGGCCGTGAAAACGCTTGCGGCAAAACCCGACGAAGGCAGCTCTGTACTACAGACGATTCAGTTGACGGAGGTGCCGTTCCAGAGTATCTGTCGAATGGTGTTTCGGCATTTGCGATTCTCACCAAGGAAGATACAAGCGACATAGCGGAGAACCTGGAAGACGAGAAAGCAAAAGATACTCCAGTTAGGACGAAGACAATCCATAAAAGCGATTACTCTACCAGGTTGTGGACGTCCGAGGTTCCAAAGAATAAGGAAACGCATCAATGTAAGCAGCCGCTAGCAGTGGCCTGGCATTTGCAATAGCGAGTAGAAGCTCCCTGTGAGTATCCAGCTCTGAGGCCTTGAGCTTCAGCATTAACCTGAGCAATCTCCCGGCTCCACCTCCATACTGTCCACTACTCTTGTGAAACTCGTCCCACGAAGAACCACTGGGACAAATCCCATGCCTCGGATCCGTGCAAACCGCCAGCAGAATTTCCTGCGCGACATCCACTGCTTCCGATGGCCTCTCTCGAGCAGTAATCTTCTGGAGCTGCTCCAAGGAAGCATCACCAAAGAGAGCCACTTGGATGCCTTGCGGAACCAAAGAAGAAGCGTGTAGCACCTTTCGCTTGAAAATGGAGAGCACGCGAGTGACTGTGTCGTCGTCATCGCTCGCGAGGCCGTGGAGAACTCCGGCGTAGAGGACGCGTTTCTGGAGAATCCACCTGAGCAGACCTGAATCCCCCGCCACCAAGAACGACAGAGCGAAATCGATGAAGAAAGCTCGAGTTGGAAGCTTGAGAGTGTTGTCACCTTTGGAAGAAGACGAAGCGATCGAGGATTGCTGCTTGCTCTTGGCTGTATTCCTGGCGAGTTTCTTCAGAGCTTCCAGCGAGAAATCAAACTTGGACGCTACCTGCTTGGCGATAAGCTTCCCTCGCGACACGATCGCCGACATGAGACACAGAGCACCGTTCTCTCGACTCCTCTGCCCCGACGAGAGATGCGAGTAGACATCGCTGAGCTTCGTTTGCACGATCCACAGCGCGAATTTGTCGAGCCTGAGCTGCACTGCCAGCGATCTCTTCCCTTCTTCCCCATCTCTGGAAGAACAAGAGCTCGATCTCTCTCTCAATCCCGCCGGGTGACGAAATACCTCGGCAAGAACCACGAGAGTGGACACGGCAATGCGAGCTTTGGGCCCGGCCTCGATCGCATTCTTGAGCTCCACGCATTTGGGAGACGCGAGCACATAATCTACCAAGAACTCACCCCCGCCATCGCCATCGCCATCGCCATCGCTCTGGAGGATCCTGCGCATTCTCCCCAGGGCCGATGATTGCTGCTCCTCGGCCTTGGACGACAATCCCATCACCACTTCCAGCATCTGGTTGCTCACCATCCCTGTCACGACCCCGTCCATCACCGGTCGCTGTATTCCCTGCTGCGCAATCCCCTCCCCCTCCTCTTCGTCGTCCTCCATTGCCTAAAACCCTAGACCACAGTTTAGGGTTCTAAGAATTTAAAGATTGAGGCTATTCACATTGTCTAACCATTGGGATGAATTACCTTCTTGCTTTCAAGGACTCGTTCCATAGGTCCTCTTTGAAGCTCTTTCCAAACGTTGGCCTCCACAGCAATCGGCAGCCACCGTGACCAGCGCTCGCTGGTTTCACTCCTCACGGGTCACACAGTGGCTACTCCAGCGTTGGCACGAGTACCCCACTCTTTGGAGACCGCATAGGTGTGCTTCATCTCCCAATCCGCATTGCGGCATGTCCCGGTTGCCAATCAAGGAGGCGATGGTTTCATGTTTGCTTTGATTTCTTCACTAGAGATGCGCCATCCTCCAAAGGGATCCAACTTCGTCACCTTGGGCCTGAACAGATTATTCGGTTGGCGGTGGTGCCGTTCCATTCGGCATTTGCAATTATCACCAAGGAAGATACGAGCGACTTAGCCGAGAACCTGAAAAACGAGAAAGCAAAAGAAGCTTGAGAGTGTTGTCACCTTTGCTTGCTCTCGCCTGGATTCCTGGCGAGTTCTCCAGCGAGAAATCGAACTTGGATTATAAGCCTCCCTCCCGACACGATCGGGCACAGAGCGCCATTCGCTCGGCTCCTCTGCCCCAAGCGAGTAGACATTGCTCAGCTTCGCTTGCGCGATACAGAGGGCGAATTTGAGCTGTTCCGAAAATCCCGACCTCTCTTTCAATCCGAACTTCCTCGGCGAGATTCGATCGCATTCTTGAGCCTCACGCATTTTGCGAGCACATAATCGCCATCGCCATCCTTCGCATTCTCCCTAGCAATTTGTTAACATATTCTGCGTAGATTCTCTGCTATATCATTTTAAGGTTTAGGTCTTGCCTGACAGAGACATGGAACGAAACAGTATTAAGAATGCTAAGAATGTCAAGTGTGCAATAGATCAGCTGCCGGATGAAGTTCTCGCTGAAATTCTATCTCGGGTGAGTAACAAGTGTGGGGAGGATGGAAACTATGCTGGCTATTGCTTAGTTTGTAAGAGGTGGAACGGTGTTGGTAAGAAGGTTGGACTGGATGTGTCAATCGATTTGAGCCCACTGCTTTATAAGGAGTTGCAGGCTTGGCAAGGAATGCGTCTCAAACTGGGTCGGATCCGGACGCTCACCATCGACAAGTATCACTGGCACTTGCACAACGATTACTCGTGGCTAGCAGGTTTAAGCAAGTGCCTCGAGGAGATTACGATCGATGGTGGCCCGCTGGAACTTGTTGAGCACTTCTTTGATCTCGAGTGTCTTTCCAAGTGTTCCAAGCTCAAATACATGTCTTTAGCCAGAGTTGATGTTCGTAAGGTCAACTATGGGGACCGGAAGTTAGCGGTGTCATTCCCGGCACTCACTTGCTGTATCCTCGAGAGGGTCACTGGTATTAATCTTCAGCAGCTACTGGGTTCTTGTCCAAGGCTAGAAAGGCTGGAGGCGGAGATGTATGCGTTCAATGGGTTACTGTGCTCGGCGAGCTTGAGAGAGTTGAGGCTGGAGGCAGAAGCTGGCGGAGATTTCGAGTTGGACTTTCCAGATCTGGAGGCTGCCTTTGTAGGTGATTGCATGAAGCTGGAGTTGAAAGCTCCACGTTTCAAACGTCTCTCGCTTGGTTGTTGCCAAGAGCTCGTTAGCTTGGACGTAGGCAGCCCATTGCAGAGCCTGGAGCTCTACAGCTCGTCTGGTTTTCGAACGGCTGCAGCTGTGGACAAGAGACACTTTGAGTGCCTCAGGCTGAAAACCCATGGATCGGTGACAGGAGGATATTGTGCGCACAAGGTGGCCAAGGAAATATTGGTATTGCCGCAGATGAGGGAATGCAAGGAGCTGTCTATAAGTGGATGCCGTTGTCACCTGTGGAAGTGTTCCAAGACGGATCAGTTGGTCTACAGACATGAGAGAGCAGTGTCCATCTCTTACAAGCTAAGGAAAGTCTGCATTGAAGACAACAAAGACTCAGTGTTGGGGAGAGAGCTGGAGGAGATGTTGGCCACACTTGTCAAGCAGTGTCCAGCATTAGAAGCTCTTGAAGTGGCGGGGGCTCCTGATGAACAACTTCTAAGCAAGTTGAGGGTGTCCTCGAGCTCCACTCCTCATTCAAGGCAGGAATGTTTGGACACAGGGGTGCAATCCAGGAGATGTTTGGACACACAGGTCCATGTTTCCAAGCTGAGAATAAGATTGCTCAGAGACTCAACTCCAGAAGCTATTTCCTGCGATTAAGACTGGTTGTAATTAGCAAGCACACATACACACAACAACTCCAATGGGGGTTTTGGTGGGAAAACCAGCTTAAACTACTAATTAGTGTTTTTGTATTTTTGAATATCCATAAGAAATTATAAAATGTTTATAATTTATAATCTTTCTTAAATTCCAAGTAAATTTGATTAGTAGTCTACATATAGTTCTTCTTTTATACTTTACCACATTTTTTTTATACTCTTCCTTAAATTAAGATCAAGGGATATGATGGGACTAGACTTTTGGTACAATTGTTCCTTTTTTGATGCTTACAATATGGTCTTTGGAAAACACTCTTCACACACATAACTTTTGGGCAAAAAACCAAAGCAATTTTAGTAGAAATTACATAATATTTTTGGCCATTAAAACCTAGTTTATACAAAGACATTTGCATTCATGAGCACAATTCCTTTTTATAATGGACATGGTTATTTTAAATTCTATTATCACAATGCATATGAGAGATTGCCATACAAATCATCATGCTCCACAAGATAATGTTATTGTCTTCTAGTTTGTCGAAACCTTTTTTCATGTTAAGAGTGTTCCAATAACAAGCTAAAATAACTCAGGAGATAGATTAATAAATAATATTTTAATGCCATTTTAAAGGAAATTATATTACAAGATAATCCTATATATTTACAATTTATAATTAGTATTTAATTAAAATAAAAAATTAGTAGTTTAGAGTAGTAAGGGTGGCTGACTCCATTAGTCATTTTCTTGTTGCCAACAGCCAAATGGTGTGTAAATGTTAGCACATTTTAATAGATTAAGGCTAGTATTCATTAGAAAATTCTTATAAGAAAATGATATAATTATTAAGATAATTTTTTATTAGAATATTCCTTTTCCAAAGGAAACAAGGAAGAAAATTATTACTATAGTTTTAAAATTGGTTTACAATAACATTTATTTTGCATGTAGAGCTAGTAAGGTAAAGCTCAAGCTCTATTTTATTAATAAAAAAGTTTATTTTCTCTTAAGTTTTTCATGAATTGACAAAACCATTTTCATGGTTCTTTTGTCCCAAATGATTTTTGTCCATGTTTCTGGATGCATAAACTCTCTAGATTGCATGACAAAAAGGAACGAGTGTAAGTTCTTGCAAGTGGGGATAACATTAGGAAGGAATCATGCCTTGTTTATATTACTGCTTTCTTATGCTTTGCCACGAGCCATGGTCAGTCATGACCTGTGGTCTCGCTTGGTCTTGCCATGGTCAGCCTATGGCTTTGGCTATGGCACTAGCAAGCACTGGCTTAGCTGCGACCCTGGCCCCATGGCCAGCCTTGCTTGGAGAAAATTTCTGCATGTCTTGAATTTGCCCGCACTGGGCAAATGCTGTGATCCGCTCCAATCCGCGAGAATATACCCTTTTCCGGCAAGATGATTCGTCGAGAGGCTTCCATGTAGGTAGTAGGAGCCATCAATATGGAATAAATCTAAAAGTATCTAAAAGGATATGCCTCTAGGGCAAGGATTATCCTGGGCGGGAATGTGAGGACAATCTGGGGCGTGGCGTGCTGTTCGTGGATCGCGATTCTCCAACAGCCGGATCATCTTGGTATGCGTCTAGTTACGGCCGATCAAAGTCGTCTGAATCGTGTCTTCCTTTTGGATTGATGCCCACGGATCGTTTTCGATTGTGTCGCATGCTATTAAACGAAGATGGGGATTTCCAGCCCCCCGACTGTGACTAGCGCACCGATCGATGGAAGGAAGGCTTTCTTACGCTGCTCCTTTCCGGGCTATAAAATGGGCAGGCACGGCCACTGCTTGGTATCAGATCGAGCAGCATGGAAGCCCGAGCACTGTTTCTTTCTGCTGCGACTCTCCTGTTTATCCTTTTCGCCCGAGCACGATCGGCCGAGGTAGATGGAAACTCCAATGTTCATAGATAGTGCTTGGATGGATATTTTTCTCACTTGTTCCTTTGGTCCACAGGTTTATATCGTTTACTTGGGTGCTGTTCGCAATTCTTCTCACGATCTCCTCGAAACGCACCACAACTTGCTCGCGACGGTTTTCGACGAGTAAATGCTGTGTTCTTCCTCTGGATCTTACATTGTTTGCTTCATTTCTGTGCTGTAGTGTGGATGCCGCAAGGGAGTCTGTGCTCTACAGCTACAGCCGATTCAATGCCTTTGCTGCCAAGCTCGAGCCACACCAAGCTACTGCACTGGAAAGTGAGGATTTTCTTGCAAGCTCTTTTGGTCTTTGTGTCGCTGCTGACATTTCATCGCTTCAGAAATGCCTGGCGTCGTATCCGTGTTTGAGAGCCAAGTAAGCTACGTCCAAACCACGCGATCGTGGGAATTTCTTGGTCTCGAGGACGAGCAAGGAAATGTTCCACAAAACTCACTCTGGTCATCTACGAATTATGGTCAGGACATCATTGTTGGTGTTATTGACACAGGTAGTTTTGTGCTTTCTTTCTTCAAGAACCGAAGGGCTAAAGTTTGATAGCTTACAGGGATATGGCCGGAGTCACCTAGCTTCGATGATTCAGTGTTTACTCCAAAGCCGGCACGATGGAAAGGAACTTGTGTTGGCGTTCCCTGCAACAAGTATGCCAGGACGTTTGGAAGTTCTGTTTTCTGATACGTGTTTCTTTTGTTTCCTCTCAGAAAACTAATAGGTGCTCAGTACTTTTTAAAAGGAAATGAGGCACAGAGGGGACCGATTAAACCGCCTGAGCAGAGGTCGCCTCGCGATGTTGCTGGTCACGGAACGCACGTCGCTTCTACTGCTGCGGGAATGCCCGTGTCTGGGGCCAACAAAAATGGACAGGCGAGCGGAGTTGCCAAAGGTGGTGCTCCGCTGGCCCGACTCGCCATCTACAAAGTCATCTGGAACGAAGTCGTCGTGGATGCGGATCTTCTCGCGGCCATTGATGCCGCACTGACCGATGGAGTCGATGTCATCAACCTCTCTCTCGGCAAAAAGATATCCACAGCCCCGTATTTTGCGTACCTCCAAGATGCATTATCTATCGGTGGATTTCATGCTGTCCAGGCCGGAGTTCCCGTGATCGTAGCTGGTGGAAATGAGGGCCCGGCTGGTTATACTGTAGTGAACATCGCGCCTTGGGTTCTTACAGTCGCGGCAAGCACTGTAGATCGTTATATTTCGAGCTATGTCGTCTTGGGAGACAACCAAGTGTTTAGCGTAAGCATCGGAGCTTTTGAGTTTGATTGCTCGCGTTTTTACGTTTTGCTTTTTGCAGGGAGTGAGCTGGTCAAGAAGTTCTCTTCCGGCGAATCGCTCCTATCCGCTTGTGTACGCAGCAGACATCTCAGCTGTATCAAACATCACAGCAGCGTAAGCCTTACAACTTCAACATGGAACATCCCTCGTTATGAAAAATATTTCTTTCTTGCAGCACGCTTTGCCTTCCAGGCACGCTCAATCCAGCCAAGGCACAGGGACAAATCGTGCTCTGCCGTTCTGGCCAAAACGATGGTGATGATAAAGGTGAAACTGTGCGACGAGCTGGCGGAGCTGGAATGATTATGGAAAATCCTAAGAACCTGAGGTCTGAAGCTAAGCCTAGTCTTCCTGCTACTCATGTTGGTAGTAAGGCTGCGGAGGCCATATACGACTACATACAACGCACTCAGTCTCCAGTCGTGAGCCTTACTCTAGGACGTACACAGCTTGGATACAAGCCGGCTCCTGTGATGGGAAGTTTTTCGTCCCGAGGTCCCAATACAATCACTCCAGACATTCTCAAGGTACTCTACACTCTTTTTCATCTTCCTTGCGAAACTTACTTGATGCTTTGGCAGCCCGATGTCACAGCTCCTGGTGTGCAAATTCTGGCAGCCTGGACCGGCCTTAAAGGGTCCCAGTTTGAGTTTGAGTCCGGGACTTCTATGGCCTCTCCACACGTTACCGGTGTCGCTGCTTTGCTGAGAAGTCTGTATCCAAGGAACGCAAGGAACGCATGGAGTGTCGCGGCCATAATGTCAGCTATCATGACAACTGGTAAGTCCCATGGTTTTCCGCTTCATTTCATCGCTGATTTCAAATGCTTTCTCGTGTGCTTTAGCAACGATTCAAGACAACGAAAAGAGCATTATCAAGGATTACAACTTCAGAACCGCCACTCCTTTCCAGTTTGGAAACGGGCATATAGTTCCCAACGCGGCTGCTGATCCGGGCCTCGTTTACGGCGCCGGCGCTCAAGACTACGCTGAGTTTCTGTGCACGACAGGGTACAGCAGCAGCACGATCCAGCAAGTTCTTGGAGTCGCGGCCAGCTGCACCACGGCGATTAGAAGAGGCTGCGACTTAAACAGGCCATCGGTGGCGATATCCAACTTGAGGGGCCAGATATCAGTGTGGCGGAGTGTGACTTTCGTCGGAAGGTCTCCAGCGACGTTCCAGATTTACATCTCAGAGCCTCCGGGCGTGGGAGTGAGAGCGAATCCATCCCAGCTCAGCTTCACGAGCTATGGCGAGACTGCTTGGTTCCAGCTCTCGTTTACGGTAAGGCAGCCTTCCAGTGACTACTCGTTTGGCTGGTTCGTGTGGAGCGATGGCATCCGCCAAGTGAGGAGCTCCATTGCTGTCCAAGGAATAAGCACAGCGTCAGTGGCAGTGGAGTAAAGATTAAATTATAGATATAAACTTTGGCTATATGTTTTAACCTATAATCATACTAATGTGAATAATAATAATTATTATTATTATAGTTAAAAGGGCCTCAAAGCTACAAAGCAAAGGCACGTAACAATATAATGAGAGGTGGATGGTAAGCTCAATGTCACAAATTAGGCAAATCATTCTATGTTAGACTAGAATTCCTGGATCAAACTTCCGCCTTATGGAACCCAGGTTGACTTCTCTCAGGCAAAATACTTTTCGTTGTCAGAGTGAACTTCGCAGATCAAAGAAGATGACGATGTGCTGTGGAGCCCCGAGGCCCGATAATCTAGAGAACCCTTGAACGCAAGAAGGCGGGATTTCCTACAATGGTGATGGATCTCATGCTGCTTCAAATGGTGGCGCTAACTGCTAGTTTCCAAGGCTCCTCCAAATAAAATCGCGGTTTGGTGGCTTGTGAGGAAGATTATTCGAGTACTATCGTCCTTTTGACTGGCATGGTGAAATGTGCCTCGCATGGTTGTTTAAATCATAAGAACTTGATATGTTATTTGTTAAGGTGAGCATTCTCACCATATAAAGAAAAAACCAAACAAGATCAGTCAAGTGAAATTTTTTTTGGAGATGCCGGGTATCGATCCTGGTGCCTCTCGCATGCTAAGCAAGCGCTCTACCATGTGAGCTACATCCCCTTAACACAAAGATGAGAATGAGCTTTCATTCATCATTTCCAGATGGAAACTTAAAGTGGGCTGGTGGATCTGACGAAATCTCGGTTTCGCTTCACAACTTAACCTGGTTGGAGCTTGGACGAGACCACCAATTGCAAGTGCTACGTTCCTCAAGAAAAATCTCTACGAGTATATGGATAAGCTGCATCGTTTACTCAAGAAAGGATGAAATGTGTCCTGATTGCTAAGTTGGTGTTCTAGCTTAAAGATACCTTAAAAGACAGCTAATTGGAGCAAGTTTATCCGTGGAGCCAGATTTATTTTCTGCGGAGGTGTCGCTGGGATCGATCACGAGCGGAGAAGAGATCGATCGCATCAAGAGATCAATTCACATTGTGACAGGGTCCCACGTCCCGAATATGCCCGTTCTGGGATGATGCTGTCAGAATTGCTATCCAGGAGGCGAGATTCCTTTCTCCGAAAGATGCCCTTCCTGGGCAAATGCGTGAATCGCGGACGTCCACGTGTAAACATCTCTCTCCTTCATTTTGATATGCTGCAAAGCATGGCATTTCTAGGCAAGAGTCGATTATTCGTTTCCTCTACTCGGCCAGCTAAGCAGCAAGCGCTGAGCATCGCGCGATGGGCATCTGGAGGATGCGAAGAGTATTTATTCTCCTCCACGCTGGAGAGAAATCTCGTGGCACACACTCGGCGAAGCGTTAGGGTTCTCGCGTCGAGCTTCAGCAAGATAGTTAAGGATGTCGCGGCTTGGCATGGATCCATCGACGATGTCGCTCGGGCCGAGCTCCCAGGCAGCCGGACTGGCAGCATCGTGGTGCTGGAGACGAGGCAGTGCCAGTGCTCGAATCGCATCCGCGGCGCCCTCGCACGGCAGCGTCGACCAGGATATCCTGGCTCGCATTGTGTTCCACATCTTTTTTAGTTTTGGTCAACGCATAAACTAAAGATGACTAGCCCTCTTATATACTCGCGAGCTCGCTCGTGGGATAACTCTGGTCTCTCACGGCAGTAGGACAATTCCACGGCTGATCGTATCATTCACTTATCGTTAGCTCCTTGCATTCCCTCAGCTAACGATATACCAATATCCCCACTAATATCTGCTTGGCCACCTTGTGCGCACAATATCCTCCTGTCTGGGATCCGTCGCTTTTCAGCGTAAGTCAGCGTTTAAGGCACTCAAAGTGTGTCTTGTCCAGAGCTTTAGCCGTTCGAAATCCAGACGAGCCGTAGAGCTCCAGGCTCTGCCTACGTCCAAGCTAACGAGCTCTTTGCAATAACCATTGAGCGGGAGACGTTTGAGACGCCGAGCTTTCAGCTCCAGAGCGAGGCAAGCACCTACAAACGCGGCCTCCGGATCTAGAAAGTCCAACTGAAACTCCAGCTTCTGCTTATAAAACAGTGGGCTTAAATATCCAGTCCAGTGCTTTTGCCAACGATTCCAGACAATGAGTCAAGACTACAACTTTAGAACCGCCACTCCTTTCCAGTTTTATACTTCGCAATGCGGCCGCTGATCCGGGCCTCGTTTACGGTGCCGGAGTTTCTGTGCACGGCAGGCAATGGTGTTGGTTTCCATCCGCCTCTCATTGCCTTGGAACAATGGAATGTTGGATATAGTCGCCACTCCAACACTTAAAGGTTGAGGGTCTCGCATGTGCTGGATGGTGGTGAGCAGCGGGATCTATCGAGACGAGTGGAGGTTTTGGTGGATCATGTTATGGAGGGACGAGATTTTATGCTAGCGATGGAGGAGCGGGTGGGATAGGCACACTGGATTGTCATTTATTTATTGACCACTTCCTATTCTTCGAATCGCGAAGTCCATGTTGCCAGCTTAGAAGCAAAGAAACTGGTTGGTCAACTATAATCCTCCCGAGCTCAAAGGCGAAAAAATTTGGAGATGCCGGGTATCGATCCCGGTGCCTCTCGCATGCTAAGCGAGCGCTCTACCATTTGAGCTACATCCCCTTAATGGGAAGAAAAAGGACAATGTTTCAAGCGCTTTTGATGGTGGTGGACCTGTAGCTATGGGATCTCTTCCAACACTCGGAAGTATCCAAATCCTGGCCATTCTCAAGCTCAGGAAGAAAGAGTTGAGCAAGAATTCTTCTCCCGGGACATCGGTGTGCTCTCCTCGCCTCTTAAACTTACGTTAAACTCAACACAAAAAAGACTATGTTTCTGAAAGTGTTGTCTTTATTAGATCATAAAGTAATTATTAATAAACAAATTATTAATTAATATTTAAGAAATAAATTTTCAACAAAGTAGATTGTGAATTATTTTCTAGTTGAAAAAATCATAATTTAAAAGCATTAGTGTCAGTCAAGTAACATATTTGATACAAAATTTGTAAATAGAACTTTTTGTTAGAAAGAATGAAGAGAAACAAAGGATTATTACCTTTGTTGAAGGCCTTTCAAAGATTTTAAGGATTTTTTGAGTTGCTGAAAACCGCTGGTCTGATTTTCCCTTAGTTTACCTCTAACATGGCATTCTTTGCTCCTGAAAATTCTAGTACGCTAAATGCCCAGGCCGGGAGAATCTATCGAATCTTGACGAGATGCAAGGAGTGAATGAATTAATACTTAACCAATACTACTTAGTCCTTTACGCAATTGCTTAATCCTAAACACTTCTTTCTCTTGCAACCTGGTCCCTTCGTACTCTGCTGGGATCGGATAACCAGATGCCCGCAACGCCTCCCTAGTCTCGAGCACCCGAAGCATCTGAAGCGTGTGATTGATACAGGGGAAAAATGACATACATCCCCCCAATCCCAAGGCTGCCGGAGAACGCAACAATAGCATCTCCATGCGAGGCAGCGTTCACATCCACCGGCAACCCCGTCAGAAGATCAGTGCTCGGGTAGCCGAGCCTCGCCACAACCTCGTCCCTCATATTGCAGTGGAGCAGAAGATGGGGTGTTTCTGTCCTCCATCTGCGTGCGTGGATACAAGTCGGGCTCCCAATCTGCAAACCCCACGCAATAAGCTGGGAAAGCCTTCACCGCCATGTCTGCCACCATTGTCCCTGGGCTCGGGGTGTGAAAGGATAATCCCCTCCACCTCCTTCCTTCCTTCCTTGAGGAAAGGAAACACAAGCTTGATCTTGTCTCCAGCCTTGTAGATCTTGGTGGAGGGAACTTCTTCCGTAATTGTGAGGCCGCACAAGCCCTCCCCAATGAGCACAGCCTTGTTGCCCTGCTCATCCCTTCCCAGAATCTGTGCAGCTTCCTCGGCAGCATAATCCCAATCGGACAAGCCCAAACAAGCTTTTGCTACTCTCGCAAAGGGCTTCTTCACTCCCGACCAGCGCTTGAAACGAGTGTATGATTTCACCTTGTTGACATTGATGGCCCATTCCCCGAAACGCGGGGGGAATGGCTTGCCAGTCTTCACCACCGCCGCCGCCAAATCTATTCGCACAATTAAACTTCGCGGGCTTTTAAAAGTTGACTCCTCAAGAGGGTATTTCTTCTTGATCAGAATGTCTTCGCCTCTGGCGACGTCAAGGCTTTTCTATCCGACTTCCAAGGCCTCGAGAGGAAAGTCTCGACGTCGTGTCCGCCCTCCTCGGCGGTTGCGTTGGTTCGTTGCTGGCCGGGGAGGACTGACAAGTTTCCAGCGAATCTGGGAGCTGCTGAGAGATTGTGCTGCAGAGCTACCTCTCATCGAAGAGCGCTACCAACATGGAAGCTTTTCATTAAGTCGAAGCGGATCATGGGCCGGGGGAACGCTGCAGACTTCCTCACCAAAAGTGTCTGATCGGAAGAGTCAAATATTCTTTTGTGTACAGTGTTGATAACGTCATTCAGTACTCCTATTGGAAGACGATTGAAATTGTCAAATTTTGTAGCAAAAGAAGAACAATATTTTGAGAAGATAACTATGAAACAAAGAAAGCAAGCAGTCCTAAGAAATGACGATTCAGTAAGCCCCATTTTAAAGACCTGTATAAAGTTGGACAATGATCTGCCCAAGGGATGTGGATAATGTTGTAAACGAGCCGGCTTTTCCCGAGTCCTTGTACTCTGCTACTTGGAGGAAAGCTTTGGCTGGACCTTCCAATAAAGCAGAAATCGTAGACGCTGCAGCAAGACGGGTCTACACTATGCGCTTCAATTTCAAACGTAAGCAGAGGAAGAATCCCAACACCAAATCCGAGCTCTCTGCGAAGCAAGAAGCAAGAGCTTGATGTACGTGCTTAGTCGCATCCAGCAAAAGATCTCTCCAGTGAATCACGTACGTGTTTAAACTTGCAGCATAAAAAACTGGACGAACTGGCCCGGAGCTGCGTAACATATCACGAACTTGAGCTTCCGATACATTGCCGGAGGGAGTTCCACGTTTTGCCCGCATAGACAAATGTAGGAGGCCCAACCATGTATGTAGAGATTGCTAGGAATGGATGCGAGCGTGAGCGCTGAAATCCCGTGAGTAATGAACAAGCTCACACTGATTCCATACTGATTAGATCGTTTCAGGCCTCCGCTTGATGACGAGAGCGTATGGAGTTTTGCAAGGATTGAAAGCTTTGCACGAAACTGGCAAGCTTTTCTTTCAAGCTGCTTGTGCTGATCGATATGGAGAGCGTCCGAAAGAATGGAGAAGTGCCAGCGTTTCAATTTAAAGGCTGGATCGCAACAACGTTGGAGGCTGACCGGCGTTACACGATTCTATCTGACTTCTATCAAACTCGGACTCGTGCTCCAGTCTACAGAAGTCGAACCAAAGAGCAAGGACTGCTTGGAGTTCATCGATTTGCTCTTGAGCAGACCTCAGGCGACCGCCTTCTCCAACACAAGTGGATCTCACGAGTTCCTGGAGGAAATCTCGAAGTTTTTCTATTTGCATTTCCTTTCTTATAAGACTTTTACCTCAGTAAACGTGATCTTCCTTTTCTTCGTGACCACCACCATCGTCGACTTCTTCTCCTTCTTCCTCGTCTATCTCGTCTTCGTCCTCGTCCTCGTCCTCCAGATCCTCCTCCGAGTCGTCTAGAACCACAACTGGAGGAGCTTTAGCTTTCGCCTCCTCGGGCTCGTCATCCTCGGCCCACTCAAACAGTTTGAGCGGAGCACCCGGGTAATGATCCTCCAAGAACCTGTTGTTGACGAAGAACCGGAAGCACTGGAGCAAATGGCTCTTGTCCCGTTTGATCTCCGAGCTGAGCAGCTTGGCCAACAGCGTCGGCTCTCGCTCCTTCTGGACTCTCTCGGCTTTTGCGTTTTCGCTCCTGGAGTCTTTCCTCTCCTCGTCGTTGTTGTTCGCAGTGTCGTGCAGGAAGTGACACCTCCTTCCTTTCTTGCAGTGGCCCTTCTGGAAGAAGACGCAAATCTTCCTTCCCTGCCTCCTCCCACTGTGAAACACTCTGCTGCCTTCCTGATCCTCGGAAGCTCTGGGAGCTTTTGATGGCCTCCCAAGGCTGGTTTTCTTGTCGGTGTATCGCTGTGACAAGTAGTAAGAGGGAATTTCGGCGATTTGACACCCGAGCTCCGCTTGCCTGGCTAGAATTTGCTTCAAACTCTGCCACCAGCACAGTGTCACCGGTCACTCCGATCCAAATTCTTCTGTCACAGCATGCATACCTCTTGCCTCATCAACGCGTCTTCGTCGACAAGCTCTCCTCGCTCAATTCGGCCTTGTATAGCTTGCAACTTAACGAAGAACAGTGACAAGTCAGTCCTGTTAGCGAACTTTGCATCTTTAGTACCTTTCTCTCGATGTTCGCTGTTGTTGGATAGTTTCTTCGACGGGCCTCACGCCACTTCCTCGTCTCCTCCTCGCTTTCTTTAGAGATGTTCCTGGAACACCGATTCTTTTTACCTTTCGTACACGTTAGATGGGGCACTTACATCGCAGGCTTCTTGTAATGAACCATCTGCCTATGCTCGCTCACCGCTTTTCCTGACAAAAGCGCACACACATGAATCAGATTCTCTGGATGGACTAGCAACAGACTCACCGATGCCTTCGAACAAGCAGCCATCCGTGTTGCATTTCACGTGAGTTTTCATATGAGCGTCCATTTGATTTCGTCCCACAAAGTTGCGGTCGCAAGGCTCGCACCGCAGATCCGGCCTGATGGAGAAGAACAAAGTTAAAAAGAAGAGGAAATTAAACGAGTACCTATTTGCTGAGCCTTGAAAGTTACCATTTCTTTGCCAGTTTCCAGGCCTAGAAAAAATCATCACCCTCAAGCCATTACAGACGAGAAAGAAAAGCTCAAAATCTTACCTTTTGTTGTTGAAGCTACCGTCTCTGTTACGCTTCCAGCCACGACCAGCTCCACCTCCACCTTGAGCCGCTCCACCTCCAAACCGTTGCATTTTGTTTGGAGACCTCCCAGAAGACGACTCAGAGTGAATCTCCGCCTGACCATATCCATCACCGGTAGGATTCACTTGCCACGGAGCAGCAGGGGACGGCCACTGTGGTGGCGCTGGAGCTCCATAAGCCGCGGGAAGAGGAGGATAGCTCGACTGCAAAGCGGCTGCCACAGCAGGTCCATAGCTCCCGTAGAAACTCTGAAACTCAGCTGGAGTTTGCTGCTGTTGCTGCTGGAGCTGCGTTGCCATCGTCGTGGGAAACTGTTGAGCAAAGTATGGAGAAGGATAGGCTCCCAGCATCGGCTCGTAGGATGCAGTATAGTCCGGCTGGTAGTAAGGCACAGGTTGCGGTATGAACATCTGGAAGATCATGAAGACGTAACGTTTTAAGTGTAAGGAAGAAAAACGAGGAAGAATCATCCATCTCAAGCAAGCAGTAGCTGCATTTCCAAGTAAGAATCCATCGTTCTTTCAAGAAATCCCAAGCAACCAACGAAAGAATCCATCGATATCCAAGCAACCATCCAGATCCTCAACAAAGAAAAAGAAGAGAAGACGAAGCGTCGTATGAACTGGAAGAGCACGAAGACATAAGAATGTTTAGGTGCCCCATCCAAGAAAAAAACGAATGAAAACGAGGAAGAGTCATCCATCTCAAGCAAGCAGTAGCTACATTTCCAAGCAGCCATCGAAAAAAGCGACCGTTTTTCGGGAATCCAAGCAACCAACGAAAGAATCCATGATTCTTAGAAGAAATCCAAGCAATCAACGATCGTTCTTAGAAGAATCCAAGCAACCACACAAGAAAACAAGATCCCAAAAGTAACAATGGAAGTGAAAGGAAGAACCAAGTACCTGGCGAGGAGGAGGTCGCAGAGGCATTTGATAGCCCGAGAAGGCCACCGGGAGAGGCTGCCAATTCAATGGCTGCTGCTGCGAGGAGTGTGATAGCTGCGTTTGCTGGAGACGATGATCTTCCATGGCTTCCTCCTGTTCCCGGGCAAGCGATCTAAACCCTAAACCCTATACCTCTCTCCCTCCCTCCTTGCTTGGACAGGCTCGAGAGGAGCACATAGGCGGTGGGACGCTCGGGGCTCATCTCCATCACCGCCATGGCGCCGCTCGCCGCCCCGCCCACCTCGCCACCGCTCCCCCGCGCCACCGCTAGGGTTGTCAGCGCTACATCGTCGGGCTCATACGGCATGCTGTGGAGGAGCTCCTCCGCGCTGTCCGCCCGCCCCGCCCTCGCCAGGAGATCGATCATCGCCACGAAGTGCTCCACCAGCGCCTCCACCTCGAAATCTTGCTGCATCGATCGGAAGCACTCCCCGGCCAGCTCCAGCGATCCAATGTGGCTCCACGCGAAGAGCACGCACGAGAATGTGATGGCGTCGGGCGCGCAGCCGTCGAGCGCCATGGATTCCAGCAGCTGGAGCGCCGATCGGCCGTGCCCGGCCTTGGCCGTGGCTGTGATGGCGATATTCCAAGAAACCGTGCTCCTGTCGATCATCCCCTGGAAGATCTCGCGCGCGTCGTCCAGCCGCCCCGATCGGCCGAAGAGATGGACGAGCGAATTCCCCACCGCGCCCTCGCGGTAGAGGCCGCTGTGGCGGATATCGGGCAGGATGTGGTGCGCCAGCGATGGATCTTGGATCGCCGTGGCCGCGAAGAGCACGCTCACGATCGTCACGCGCGTCGGCTGGAATCCCTCAAGATCCATGATCCGGAAGAGCTGGATCGCGTCGGCGCTGGCGCCGTGCTGCGCGTAGGCCGTGATCATCGTCGTCCACGACACAATGTTTGGCTCCGGCATGGCATCGAGGATCGATCGCGCCTCGCGGAGCTGCCCCGCCTGGCCGTGCGCGTGCATCATCGCCGTCCAAGTCACCACGTTCTTGTCCAGGGTTTGATCGAAGAGCTCCCTCGCGCGATCCACCAGCCCCGCCTGAGCGTAGGCCGAGATCATCGTGTTCCAGGACGACAGATTCCTCGGCGCCGTCATCGAATCGAATGCCTGCCGCGCCTCCTCGATCCGGCCATTCTCCGCGAGCGCCTGGATCATCGCGTTCCAGGCAACGGTGTCGCGGTGCTTCATCCGCGAGAAGAGCTCCCTCGCCTGGTCGATCTTCCCCACGGAGCCATAGCCGGCGATCATGGACGTGATGGACATGAGGTCCGGGTGATCCAGCGCGAGGAAGAGCTCCTCGGCGTCGCGCATCATCCGGCGCTCAGCGTAGCCCTGGATCATGCTCGACCACGCGACGCAATCCCAGTGTGGCATAGCATCAAAGACCGATCGCGCGAGATCGACCTCGCCGGAGGAGACGCAGGCGTGGAGGAGATTGTTCCAGCTCGAGACGTCCCTCTCGGCCATGGCGTCGCGGAAGAACCCCTGGGCTTCGCGAATTTGCCCGCATTGGGCAAATGCTGCGATCATCGCGTTCGCCGAGACGACGCTCCGGGCAGGCATCCGCGCGAAGACCTCCCACGCCTCGCCGATCCGGAGGCGCTGCGCGGCGATGGTGAGCATCGAGTTCCAGGTGATGACGTCGCGGCGGGGGGATTCCACGAACAGGGATCGCGCGTCGCGGAAGCAGCCGTTCTGGGCAAGCGCGGCGATGGTGATGTTGATGGTGAAGAGGTTGCGGACGCGGAGCTCGCGGAAGACGGCCATGGCGCTGGCAATGGAGCGGCAGGCGCCATACATCTGGATGAGGAGATTGGCGACGAAGAGATCGGTGTGCCAGCCAGAGCGGATGATCTGCGCGTGCAATCGCCGGCCGCCCTCCAGATCCCTGCCCGCGATGCATCGCCGCAGCAGCACGACGTAGCCCGACGCCCCGGGATCGCTCATCCTCCTCGTCCCCGCGCATTTCCAAGGAGGAATAGTCTGTCGTGCCCTAAAATTCGTTTGAGTTTAAAGCATATTCTAAGGATAGGCATAATCTACGTCAGCCCTAAATTCTAAGGTAGTATAATCCACGTCCGCCCTAATTCTTCTATGGCATATTCTTATTCTGTGTACTTCCACTTGTGTTGGTCGCCTGAGGCCTGCTCAAGAGCAAATCGATGAACCAAAGAGCAGTCCTTGCTCTTTGGTTCGACTTCTGTAGACTGGAGCACGAGTCCGAGTTGATGGAAGTTGGATTAAATCGTGTAGTCGGCCTCCAGCCTTGTCGCGATCCAGCCTTTATCGAACGCTGGCATCTTTCGAGTAGTCATACATGATCTTGTGCAGGATGAGAGAAGAAAAGAAAATTAAGAAAGCTTACCAGCTTTGTGCAAAGCTTTCAATCCTCGCAAAACTCCATACGCCATGTCGCACATGTCCTCCTCGTTGTCGGGGTATTTCTTCACACAGAGCGGTAGAGTTTCCACCTCGTAGACCGCCTTCATCGCCTTGATCACTTCCGTGCTCTTGGTGATCATCGCCAATCTCGCTCTCTTTCTCCTCCTGCCGCCACTGCCGCTGCTACTGTCTGATGAAGAAGATCGTTCTGATGATTCCGAGATATCAGAACCTAAGCGAGAGGACGTGTGCTTCGGGATGGCAGTGAGAGTCACCTCGCGCATGAGTTGTACGTCCTTGGACTCAAGTGTAGGCCCGAACACGCTACTGATCATATGTCCGCCACCTTCTATGGCAGCGATGTAAGCCGCCTCGAGACCGGCAAGACAGACCTCGTGCTCGGAAGAATACGCTTCGAAGTCTGCGATTCTCTTCACAGCGCCCTCGAGCGTGAGCTTGATTTCCCAGTGACCATGGAGAACAAACGTATCAAGCGGAGTCCTGCAACGATCTAGTCAGTACGCAATCGGTGCGAGCTTGTTCATCACTCACGGCGTTTCAGCGGCCATAGCAACAAGAAGTAGCGCTTGAGCGGTATGTGCTTAGTCACATCCAGCACGTCAGTCACTGGCGTGAGGACTCCCTGCGCCAAAAGAACGTTAGAAAACAGAGATTTCTCAACGCTTCTTGCTTGCAGCATGTAAAACTAGACGAACTGGCCTGCAGCTGCGTAGCATATCACAATCTTGAGCTTCCGATACATTGCCGGGGGGAGTTCCATGATCTTCGCAGCGAGCTCGGCCTTCGCCTTGTCAAACTTGTAGGGATTGTTCCTCTCCTCGCCAAACGCGCTTTGTCCCCGGCCCATGATGACATTGCGCGGCCGATTCGACTTGCTGAAGAACTTCCATCATGGAAGTTCCGTGATGACTCCTTCGCGACCTTCCCGGTAGCGCTCTTCGATAAGCATCTTGCTCTTTGGTTCGACTTCTGCAGACTGGAGCTGATGGAAGTCGGATTAAATCGTGTAGCGCCAGTCGGCCTCCAGCCTTGTTGCGATCCAGCCTTTAAATCGAAACGCTGGCACTTCTTCATTCTTGCTGATGCTCTCCAGATCGATCAGCACGTACTTCTGGCCGGGGAGGAGTACTCCGACGTGATGGCAATGCAGTTCCAGCGAATCTGGGACTTGCTGAGAGATTGTGTGTCCCAGACGCTTATCGAAGAGGCTACTGGGAAGATCACGAAGGTCCATGATGGAAGTTCTTCAGCAAGTCGAATCGGCCGTGCAATATCTGTCGAGGTGTCAGTCTCGATCAGCTGACGTGGCATGTCCACGTGGTCATGAGTCATGTCCCTTGAGTCATGTAAAAAGAGTCGGAACACAATGAACGAGCTCATGAGTGTTATGTCCATCCCTTTTTTACACCACAACAATATCATCATGGGCCGGGGACAAAGCGCGTTTGGCAAGGAGAGGAAGGCCGAGCTCGCTGCGAAGATCATGGAACTCCCTATCGGAAGCTCAAGATTGTGATATGCTACGCAGCTGCAGGCCAGTTCGTCCAGTTTTTCAGGCTGCAAGCAAGAAGCGTTGATTCACTGAGAAATCTCTGTTTTCTAGCGTTCTTTTGGCGCAGGGAGTCCTCACACCAGTGAATGACGTGCTGGATGTGACTAAGCACGTACCGCTCAAGCTCTACGTCTTGTTGCTATGAATGGATGCGAGCGTGGCCGTGAGTGATGAACAAGCTCGCACCGATTCCGTACTGACTAGATCCTCCGCTTGATACGTTTGTTCTTTATGGTCACTGGGAAATCAAGCTCACGCTCGAGAGCGCTGTGAAGAGAATCGTAGACTTCGAAGCGTATTCTTCCGAGCACGAGGTCTGTCTTGCCGGTCTCGAGGCCGCTTACATCGCTGCCATAGAAGGTGGCGGACATATGATCAGTAGCGTGTTCTGGCCTACACTTGAGTCGAAGGAGGTAGAACTCATGTGCGAGGTGACTCTCACTGCCATCCCAAAGCACACGTACGTTCTGATATCTCGGAATCATCAGAACGATCTTCTTCATCAGACCGTAGCAGCGGCAGTGGCGGCAGGAGGAGAAAGAGAGCGACATTGGCGACGGTCACCAAGAGCGCGGAAGTGATCAAGGCGATGAAGGCGGTCTAGGAGGTGGAAACTCTACTGCTCTGTGAGAAGAAATACCCCGACAACGAGGAGGACATACGCAACATGGCATATGGAGTTTTGTGAGGATTGAAAGCTTTGCACAAAGCTGGTAAGCTTTCTTAATTTTCTTTTCTTCTAGTGTCTGTCTCATCCTTGTTTGTAAACTTCCAGGCTTGGTGTACAACATCATGTATGACTACTCGAAAGAGGAACCAAGAAAGTGGAAAACCGCCCAGCCTCATTCGTGACATCGAAGAACTCATCCATGGAGGAAGGAGGGGGGACACGACATCGAGACGTCGAAGTCGGATAGAAAAGCTTTCACGTCGTCGTGGGGCCCAGATGATATACTGCGAGCAGGCTTTCAGGATCTCCTTGGTGCCTGGAAGAGATATCAATGCTCATTCTGATCAAGAAGAAATCACGAGGGGCTGTTGGCTGCTGGTTGGATGGCCGTCCCCGTCAGCAGGGCAACAAGGCGGGAGATGTCACGCCTACTGATCAGTACGTAAGCATTTGCCAAAGAAAACTTACAATGTGCTCGCGACAAAGTTCGTGAGTTACAGGAGGAAAAGCTCGACGGTTTTGAGGGCCTCTCTTTGCCTTGTTCCATCAGCATTGGCTCCAAGCCGTTTACAAAGAAAACGCCCAGTAACATTCTCTAAAGTTCTATTCTCGAAGTTCTGTTCCTTGTCAAAGTCAATTTAGATATTACCTTGTCTGAGAGACCTTGTTGCTGTACAATATTATTGCGACAGTGTTCCTGGGGTCGTTTGCATCAAAGCGACAGGATCGGAAAATCCGGCACCAGATGGAGAGCCAAATGGCATCGGCTTAGAGCTGATTGAGCGTGTCCCTGGCTAACTTGTGCTAACCTTGAGCGCGAAGAACCTACAGAGACCAACGAGACAATGATAATGATCTCAAACTGTCCTGTTTCGTTTTATTAATATATCACAAAGAATACTTATGCTTCTTGATGGGCACCACAAGACTATAAACAGTATATAGATAGATAGATAAACTTATCATCCCAGGGGAAGGCAAAAATTTGCTACATTGACAAAAGTACTTGGAATCCAAAGCATCTATTTATTACTTTATTGTAGTTTGTCGTTCCAGGCTGATTGTCTCTTTTCAGAAATTGAGATTAAAAAATATAAACACAATAGATGGCTAAGGTCATGAAGGGATTAAGCTATACTTCATTTTGGTTTAAATATGTTTTCTGCACTAAACTAACTCATTTACCCCTATAAAAATTGAGTGTACATACCTCTTCTGAAGGTGAATTGCAATGGCAACCATGGCGACAATGCTGGGAGCCTTCGGTTCATTGAAGGAGATTGGTGACATTGTGGCGAATTTTGATTTCAGCAAGGTAAAGTTGAACCTGTCTTGCCCAAAGCAGTTCTTAACTCCTTGTGGAATGCTCCAGATTGATGTGCGTTCCAAGAGTGCTAAGGATTACCTCCACACCAACCTGGCACCATCGTTTGGGGCATTGAATGCAGAAATGGTGAAGAAGATGGATAAGGTTCTCAAAGTTTGCATCTCGGGAACCACAGACCTTCTAGCCACCGAAAGAGCGAACTTGGGAGAAGGTCAACTCCATGTTCATGCAAAATCTCCTGGTTGAGCCAATGGGCGATGGGATTAGCAGAGCTGACAAGTTTCTCAACAAAAGCTCTGGCGATTTCAAGTTTGACGGGTCACCGGATGCAGCTATTGTGAAAGCGGTAATAGAAGTTATGTATTATGGAAGAGCTCTATTAACCGTTGCGGCCTTCTCTCGTCACAGGTTCAGACCAAACCACTGAAAACTGTACGGTCCTTTTGTTCTATTTGCAGAATTCAGCTTCCGCAAGTTTAAGCCGAGCAAGGAGGTCATTGACAAGATGAACCCAGACGCCAAAAAGAAGGCTGTGGAGGCTGCAGATAACATCTTTGGTTTCTAATATCCAGGCTGTGTCAATTGAGCCAAGATGCCCTTTGCTTCAAGCTAAAACATCTTCCTAGATAATAATCAAGGAGGCTTGGCGTTTGGTGTAGATGCGTTTCCTGCATCGAACTAATCTTTCAGAACGCTCAATCCGGGTATACCTGCATTTTTGGAGGTATATGTATGACGCGATGAGTCTCGGTGCAGTAGTCTAGCTTGACCCAATCATATTCTTTACGCATATGCTTCTAGGGCATGATAAGGGTGCATGTTGGGATTCTTGCGAGTTTGCCCCAGGCAGTCGCTGGAACCGCATTGTGTCGCAAAGGAACCAGTGCTTGTGGAAAACCACAGGTCCACTAAGTCAACTTTCACAGCATGGTCTCGGAGAGTGGTGAAACGAAATGGGCCATGAACGTCAACAGGGTGAAATGACACACTTGTTTCACACGCTGGTCAGGGGCCTTTTGAGAGAGTAGCAAAAGCTTGATTGGGCTTGTGAGCCTGACTTGTATCCATCCAAGGCCGGCGTGAGATGCTTTGGGTGCCCAAGACTAGGGAGGCGTTGCGGGCATCTGTTTTTCTGATCCCAGCAGAGTACGAAGGGATGAGGTTGCTGCAGTAGTGCTTGGTGACTAGCAAATCAACGTAGCCGTACATGTGTATAGATTAATTCCTGAGTTCAAGTATGAAAATCAATGAAAAGCTAACATTTTCAATGACTGAAGACTATGTTGACTAAATATTAACTTTTAGCGAAGTTCTACGGTCAAACTATTTGCTTAATTAGACTCATGCTTCTGAATTGTACAGATCAAGAAGAAATCCTACCTTTGGCTTTGCAAAATGGCATGGCCCAAGTTGAATGCCAGTGCCAATCTCAAGCGATCCACAGTGCTAGTGTCTCGGGGGAGCAAAGGGCCGCCTTAACCTTAATCAAGTAACAGTTGAGGAAGAGAGAGCACCACATCTAGCATGTGGCTTGTGGCAGCCAAACGTTTATAATGACATTGTTTTTTGATCCTTTGATGTTAGCTTTTCTTATCATTGTGAAGTAAAATTCACCAAGTGTTAGATTGTTCACCCACCAATAGAGAATGTGAGTTGGGTTTAAATCGTCAAGAGACATACTAATGAGCTCTGCTGTAATAGTAATTCAACTTAGTAGGAAAGATTTGCACAATTAGAAATTCTGCTTGGTTGAAAAGCCAGTGGTGAGAAGCTACGATGTGTGGGATTACGACTGAATGCCTCTAAGTCAGAAAGGATGTCGTTCTCTAGCCAGTCCCTGGCGAGGAAGAGTTCCTGGAGGCAGCAGAGTAGAGTGTTTGTTTCGGACTCTCTAACCAGCACTTGCTCCGGCCATTCCAGCAGCTCCACCTGATCGATCGGAAGTTTAGACTGTAAACGATATGTGAGAACAGCTCCATACCGATTCTTGGAGCAAGGACAGCCAGAATTTACATGGAAAGGTTCCAGATTTTAGAAGCTGCAAGCCAGGGTTTTAGCGAGGAAGAACTAGGAACGGATTGGTAAAGTAATTACCACTGCTCTGCCAAGTGCAGCGAGGTTTTCGGTGTAGGAAGCCTCCCTACGACGCAGATCTCTAATGTTTTGCAACGCTGCCTTGAAGCTCTTGTACCTACGTCAAGTTAGAAGTGAGCTCCGGATAGTTTTGCAGCTGTATAAAGGGAGTACCTTGCTAGGAACGACTGGCCTTGATGCTTCGTTGCTCCCGAGCCAAGGATGTCACAGAGACCCTCAAAATGCTGGCACGGGAAAAGAGCGTTAAAAGTGTACGTGTATCAAATAAAACGTAAGACTGCTACCTCGAGATTATCCAGATTATCAACTTCACCAGACGTTATTGTGTTCAAAATCTATCCGCAAGATCAGAAAGCCTCTGCTCGTCTCGGGCCAATTGAAGCCACATTATCCCTTGGCCCTTCTTTCCATGCTTTAAACTATGAACAGAAGACATAAAACACAGGTGAGAAGCCTGGAAAGGAAGAGGATACTAAACCTTGGCGATGGCTGTGCTCACGGTATCAAGTTCATAGAGGCGGCATACCTCTAGTGCCTGTTGCACAAAATTCACATTGAGATTCAAGAAAACGTCACACCAAGACCAACCTTCAATGCCAGTATCTGATTGGAACAACTCTGCTTCATTAGGAGAGCTTCAAGCATTCCCAGGCCTTGCTTTGGGCAAGCCGCGAGGTAAACAGGTGCTAGCTGAGATAATTGTTAGACAGACATCAAGAACAAAGAAATCAACGATATACCTGCCAGGTTAAGCTGTGCGAAGACAGTACTTGAGAATAAACCAAACGATGGAGTTCTTTCAAGCTCAAGCCGCCTAGAGTTTGCCTGTCTTCTTCAAGAAGAGATCGAACGTCCTCCCCTTTTGCTATCAGGAGATCATCAACATGCGCCATCATCCTGATAGAAAATTTATATAAATATTCGACATGAGAAGTTCTTACCACTGTGACGGGGAAGAGCATTTACCTCGGTGTCGTTGCTGATAATTGCAGATAAAAGTTCTTCAAGGTCTTCGTCCCCAGAACTTTTCAATCCTTTGCACTTGGAAGCTATGCTACGCATTCCATCTAAGACCTGCACCTGATAATTGCAAAGTGAACTTAGCACACTACACAGTTCATACATGCCAAAGAAAAAGGTATCAGATGTAGGAAATGCGCCACCAGCGACTCCATCCAGTGAAACGTAGAGAGCTGTAGAACATCAACGTTTCCCAATAGCACCTGAAGACCAAGAAGCGTCCCAAGGTGGTTGCATTCCGCCCAAAACACACTATTTTCAAGCTTGGAAACCTGACTTTGCCTTTTTTCCCTCGCCTGCATGTAATAAAATCTGAGAAACTTGCTGCAACCACATCAAACCTTAGAAAAGTCAGGCTTAAAACCTATAGCAACACCAGGACTTCCATCAGGGAGCCTCGGGCGCAGCCGTGGCATTTGCATAATGAGCAGTGTAACTGCTTCTATGAGGCCATTTTCAGTCTGCCAAGACATAAAAAAGCATCCGGAAGTTAACGCAAGTCAACAAAACAGCATGGAGAAAGAAACCTGCCGGTGATCGCATTAAACACAATAATAGGATCAATACTCTTCACGGTAATGTCGTTTTATGTTTTGTTTTCTTCCTGCAGATGTTTGGAGGTGTCAGAATGGCAACATTACCAGTGAGCCTCGTATTTGCGTTCAAGAATAGGCCCAAGTGTGTTATTACTCGTGCTCAATACGTAAAGGTGTGTGCTTCAATTCTTTTTACGTTTCTTGCAACTAATCTCTTCAAGGTGATTGGCAGGAGGCGACTGACTTAGCCAAGCGCTCCAACGAGCTTGGGTCTCCAACGAGAAGAAAGGACGAAAGTTTCGGAAAAATGTGAAGAAAGTCCAGCAGGTCAGCTCCATTGGGCACAGAGAAGAAAAAAAAAAAAAACAACAATAGCAACAATAATGGTGGACGTGATCGTGTTGACAAATGCATATGTGTAGCTCGATTCAGGAGCTTGTCTTTTTGGAAGATGATGTTCAAGCTCTGAACGAGGCATTCCCACAGGGAGAAAAGGTAATCTCTAGTTTCCCATTTAAGTTATTTCATTGCTGGATTTTCTCTCAGGCAGACACATCCTGGGCTGTTACAGTTCTTTTCTCCTTAGCCAAGCTTGTTTTCGGCATTCTCGGGTAAGAAATAAACTTCGAAGGCTTGACAAAGATATTCACTTTTTTTTTTGTTTTTTTGTTTTTCTTGTTGCAGCTTGGCTTTGTCTGTAATTTGGCCTCTCCACATCATTGTTTTCATGCTTGTCAATCCTCCAGCTTTTCCGTTTCTGAACCAAGTCTTTATTCAGCTCGACAGTGCTTGGGGTACTTGCTGTCGATGCGATCTCTAGATCTGATTTGTTTCCTTCCTTTCAGGCTTGCTAGGAACCACCGCGTTTGCAATCTTTTGCTACTACCTCGTCATGTCTGTCATATCTGGAGAGATGCATTCCATTCATCCAATGAAGTAAGCACTTTTTTTATTAAAAAAAAAAGTTTTTTCTATGAAACTATACCAAGGCACGCTCATGAACTATCCTTCTATGTTCAACAAGGTGATCCAGCGATCCAATGTGGCTCCACGCGCAGAGCACGCACGAGAATGTGATCGCATCGGGCGATCGGCCGTGCCCAGTGCGGCATAGCATCGAAGACCGATCGCCCGAGATCGACCTCGCTGGAGGAGACGCTGGCGTGGAGGAGATTGTTCCAGCTCGAGACGTCCCTCTCGGCGTCGCGGAAGAACTCCTGGGCTTCGCGAATTTGCCCGCATTGGGCAAATGCTGCGATTATCGTGTTCGCCGAGGCGACGCTCCGGGCAGGCATCCGCGCGAAGACCTCCCGCGCCTCCCCGATTCGGAGGCGCTGTGCGGCGATGGTGAGCATCGAGTTCCAGGTGATGACGTCGCGGCGGGGGAATTCCACGAACAGGGATCGCGCGTCGCGGAAGCAGCCGTTCTGGGCAAGCGCGGCGATGGTGATGTTGATGGTGAAGAGGTTGCGGACGCGGAGCTCGCGGAAGACGGCCATGGCGCTGGCAATGGAGCGGCAGGCGCCATACATCTGGATGAGGAGATTGGCGACGAAGAGATCGGTGTGCCAGCCAGAGCGGACGATCTGCGCGTGCAATCGCCGGCCGCCCTCCAGATCCCTGCCCGCGATGCATCGCCGCAGCAGCACGACGTAGCCCGACGCCCCGGGATCGCTCATCCTCCTCGTCCCCGCGCATTTCCAAGGAGGAAGAACAAATCTGGACAGGCATAATCTAAACTCTAAAGTAACTTTAACCTCAGCTAGCCCTAACCTCTAAAGTAACTAGGGCTCTTGGAAGAATATAAATAAGCATATTCCACGTCCGCCCTAATTCTTGTATGGCATATTCTTATGCTACGCGAGATCCAGAGAAACCTTTAGCACTGGAAAGAGCAGTCCTGCCTTTAAATTGAAACGCTGGCACTTCTTCATTCTTGCTGATCCTCTCCAGATCGATCAGCACGTACTTCTTGGTGGCCGGGGAGGAGTACTCCGACGTGATGGCAATGCAGTTCCAGCGAATCTGGGACTTCTCTTTCAAGTAGTCATACATGATCTTGTGCACCAAGCCTGGAAGTTTACAAACAAGGATGAGACAGACACTAAGATCGAAAGACAGAAGAAAAGAAAATTAAGAATGCTTACCAGCTTTGCGCAAAGCTTTCAATCCTCGCAAAACTCCATACGCCATGTCGCGCATGTCTTCCTCGTTGTCGGGGTATTTCTTCGCACAGAGCAGTAGAGTTTCCACCTTGTAAACCGCCTTCATCGCCTTGATGACTTCCGTGCTCTTGGTGATCATCGCCAATCTCGCTCTCTTTCTCCTCCTGCCGCCACTGCCGCTGCTACTGTCTGATGAAGAAGATCGTTCTGATGATTCCGAGATATCAGAACCTACGTGTGCTTCGGGATGGCAGTGAGAGTCACCTCGCACATGAGTTTTACCTCCTTGGACTCAAGTGTAAGCCCGAACACGCTACTGATCATATGTCCGCCACCTTCTATGGCAGCAATGTAAGCGGCCTCGAGACCGGAAAGACAGACCTCGTGCTCGGAAGAATACGCTTCGAAGTGTACGATTCTCTTCACAGCGCCCTCGAGCGTGAGCTTGATTTCCCAGTGACCATAAAGAACAAACGTATCAAGGGGAGGATCTAGTCAGTACGGAATCGGTGCGAGCTTGTTCATCACTCACGGCCACGCTCGCATCCATTCATAGCAACAAGAAGTGGAGCTTGAGCGGTACGTGCTTAGTCACATCCAGCACGTCAGTCACTGGCGCGAGGACTCCCTGCGCCAAAAGAACGTTAGAAAACAGAGAATTCTCAGTGTATCAACGCTACCGGGAAGATTGCGAAGGAGTCATCATGGAACTTCCATGATGGAAGTTCTTCAGCAAGTCGAATCGGCCGCGCAATATCATCATGGGCCGGGGACAAAGCGCGTTTGGCGAGGAGAGGAAGAATCCCAACAATTTTGAGAAGGCGAAGGCCGAGCTCGCTGCGAAGATCATGGAACTCCCTCCGGCAATGAATCGGAAGCTCAAGATTGTGATATGCTACGCAGCTGCAGGCCAGTTCGTCCAGTTTTTCATGCTGCAAGCAAGACTCTTCGATAAGCATCTGGGACGCACAATCTCTCAGCAGGTCCCATATTCGCTGGAACTGCATTGCCATCGCGTCGGAGTACTCCTCCCCGGCCACCAAGGAACAAAGCAAGTGGAAAACCGCCCAGCCTCATTCGTGACATCGAAGAACTCATCCATGGAGGAAGGAGGGGGAACACGACGTCCAGACGTCGAAGTCGGATAGAAAAGCTTTCACGTCGTCGTCGGGCCCAGACGATATACAGCGAGCAGGCTTTCAGGATCTCCTCGGTGCCTGGAAGAGATATCAATGCTCATTCTGATCAAGAAGAAATCACGAGGGGCTGCTGGCTGCTGGTTGGATGGCCGTCCCCGTCAGCAGGGAACAAGGCGGGAGGGCTTGTACGGAAGATGTTCCCTCCACCATACAAGGCTGGAGACAAGATCAAGCTTGTCTGTCCATTCCGCAACGTAGGGCGGAAGGATGTACACCCAGAGCCCAGGGAAGATGGTGGCAGACGTGGCAGCGAAGGCTTTCCCAGCTTAATGCGTACTTGTATCGATGCAGGACAGAAACACCCTCCATCTTCTACTCCACTGCAATATGAGTTGTGGCGAGGCTTGGCTAGGATTGATCTTCAGAAGGCAGTGGAAGTGAACGCTCCTGCCTAGCATGGAGAGCTGTTATTGCGTTCTCCCGCAACGAGTTTGGCACCAGCCTTAAGATTGGGAGGTATTTGGCAGGCAAGGAGGGAGCGAGCACCAAGTACGAAGGGACCTGCTGCGAGAGGAAGAAAATCAAAGTAGCCGTACATGTGTATTGTGTGACTAATATTGACTTTTAAGAAGGTCATGGGCAAACTATTTGCTTAATGTTTAAACTTTAGACTGGTCGTAAATATGAGCAAGGATAATTCAACCATGTCAGAACGCAGGACGTATTGATTCAGAAACTTATGCTTGAGCTAGACAAACCTATGCTCTGAAACTAAGAAAAGAAAAAAGTGAAGTGATGTTTTGGAAAGATTCGCGCATTTAGCTTATTAGATTTCAATAATTTAAAATTTTACAACTGTATTAACGTCTGGATCGTCATGCCCCGGAGTAGATTTCTGGGATCCTAAAAAATTGACCCTATAGCAGGAGCTGTCACGCCTACTGATCAGTACGTAAGCATTTGCCAAAGAAAACTTACAATGTGCTCGCGACAAAGTTCGTGAGTTACAGAAGGAGGAAACGCTCGACGGTTTTGAGGGCCTCCCTTTGCCTTGTTCCATCAGCACTAGCTCCAAGCCGTTTACAACGAAAACGCCCAGTATTCTTTAAAGTTCTATTCTCAAAGTTCTGTTCCTTTTCAAAGTAAATTTAGATATTACCTTGTCTGAGAGACCTTGTTGCTGTACAATATTATTGCGACAGTGTTCCTGGGGTCGTTTGCATCAAAGCGACAGGATCGGAAAATCCGGCACCAGATGGAGAGCCAAATGGCACTCGGCTTAGAGCTGATTGAGCGTGTCCCTGGCTAACTTGTGGTAATCTTGAGCGCGAAGAACCTACAGAGACCGACGAGACAATGATCTACACATGGCAAACTGTCCTGTTTCGTTTTATTAATATATCACAAAGAATACTTATGCTTCTTGATGGGCATCACAAGACTATAAACAGTATATAGATAGATAGATAAACTTATCATCACCTTTCAATGTTCCAGTGGAAGGCAAAACATTGCTACATTGACAAAAGTACTTGGAATCCAAAGCATCTAGCGTTTAGATATTTATTTCTTTATTGTAGTTTGTCGTTCCAGGCTGATTGTCTCTTTTCAGAAATTGAGATTAAAACATGTAAACACAATAGATCATTATTATCTAGGAAGATGTTTTAGCTTGAAGCAAGGGGCATCTTGGCTCGATTTACACAGCCTGGATATTAGAAACGAAAGATGTTATCTGCAGCTTCCACAGCCATCTTTTTGGCATCTGGGTTCATCTCGTCAATGGTCTTTTTGTGCGGCTTAAACTTACGGAATGTGAACTCTGCAAATAGAACAAAAGGACCGTGCAATTTTCAGTGGTTTACATTAGACACCTCACCTCCAGTGATGCCATTGGAATCCTCCTGATGGTACAGAATACGGTTGCTATCAGACCAGGCAAAGAGTTTGATGCGGTACAGCTGTACTCAAAAACATGAGCTGTGACTGAAATACAAAGGGCAGCCTGGGCACGGCTGAAGAAATACAAACCGTGAAGTACGGGTTTTGCATATCAGGGTACATTAAAACCCTGATGTCAATTACGGTCTTCTCGTGGTGCTCATTCTTGGCTAAGAAAGTTTTAAAGCTGTTAATGGTCGCCCCTGACTGAGCAACAATGCGCCCAAGAACTTCAATGTCGATCTTGGTTGATTTCAGGACGTCCTCATCTGCAATGAGATTCACAAACCAGGTCTGAACCTGTGATGAGAGAAGGCCGCAACGGTTAATAGAGCTCTTCTATAATACATAACTTCTATTACCGCTTTCACAATAGCTGCATCCGGTGACCCGTCAAACTTGAAATCGCCAGAGCTTTTGTTGAGAAACTTGTCAGCTCTGCTAATCCCATCGCCCATTGGCTCAACCAGGGGATTTTGCATGAACATGGAGTTGACCTTCTCCCAAGTTCGCTCTTTCGGTGGCACTTTGGCAAGAAGGGTTGTGGTTCCCGAGATGCAAACTTTGAGAACCTCATCCATCTTCTTCACTGTTTCTGCATTCAATGTCCCAAACGATGGTGTCAGGTTGGTGTGGAGGTAGTCCTCAGCACTCTTGGAACGCACATCAATCTGGAGCATTCCACAAGGAGTTAAGCACTGCTTTGGGCAAGACAGGTTCAACTTTACCTTGCTGAAATCAAAATTCGCCACAATGTCACCAATCTCCTTCAATGAACCGAAGGCTCCCTGCATTGTCGCCATGGTTGCCATTGCAATTCACCTTCAGAAGAAGTATGTACACCAGAAGAGGTATGTACACTCACTTTTTATAATGGGGTAAATGAGTTAGTTTAGTGCACAAAACATGTTTATCCCAAAATGAAGTGACTCATCGCAGCACGTGCTGCATGACTTTGTCATACATATCCTTCCAAAAATGCAGGTATACCCGGTTAAAAAACAAAAGGTGATTTGGATGAGCGTTCTGAAAGATTAGTTTAGTGCAGAAAACTAGTTCGGTGCAGGAAACGCATCTACACCAAACGCGTTTGGTGCAAAACGCCAAGCCTCCTTCGGTGCAGTAGTCTAGCTTGACCCAACGCCAAAAATCAGGTATCGTTTCATATTATGCTTTTAGGGCATGATAAACTGCAGCCCCAGCCGGTAGCTGGAACCGCATCGCGTCACAAAGGAACCAGCGCTTGTGGAAAACCACAGGTCCACTAAGTCAAGTTTCACAGCATAGTCTCGGAGAGTGGTGAATTGAAATGGGCCGTGAACGTCAACAGGGTGAAATCACACACTCGTTTCATGTGCCTTTTGCAAGAGTAGCAAAAGCTTGATTGGGCTTGTCCGAGATTGGGAGCCCGACTTGTATCCATCCAAGGCAGGCGTGAGATGCTTCGGGTGCCCGAGACTAGGGAGGCGTTGCGGGCATCTGCAGAGTACGAAGGGACGACGCTGGTGTAGTAGTGCTTGGTTCTGAGGGTGACTAACAAACCAACGTAGCCGTACATGTGTATAGATTAATTGCTGAGTTCAAGTATGAAAAACAATGAAAAGCTAACATTTTCAATGACAGAAGACTATGTTGACTAAATATTCGCAGTTCTACGGTCAAACTATTTGCTTAATTAGACTCACGCTTCTGAATTGTACAGTTGAAGAAGAAATCCTACCTTTGTTTGACAACGAAGAAACGATCAGCTTTGCAAGATGGCACGGCCCAACTTGGATGCCAGTGCCAATCTCAGGTGATCCACAGCGCCAGGCTCTGCTGTGCTTAGGATGTCGTTCTCTAGCCGGTTTAGACATCAAGAAGAAATAAATCAAAGACATACCTGCCAGGTTAAGCTGTGTGAAGACAGTACTTGAGAATAAACCAAACGATGGAGTTCTGTCAAAGTCTTCTTCAAGAAGAGATCGAACGTCCTCCCCTTTTGCTATCAGGAGATCATCAACATGCGCCATCATCCTGATAGAAAATCTATATAAATATTCGACATGAGAAGTTCTTACCACTGTGACGGGGAAGAGCATTTACCTCGGTGTCATTGCTGATAATTGCAGATAAAAGTTCTTGAAGGTCTTTGTCCCCAGAACTTTTCAATCCTTTGCACTTGGAACGCATTCCATCTAAGACCTGCACCCGATAATTGCAAGTGAACTTAGCACACTACACAGTTCATACATGCCAAAGAAAAAGGTATCAGATGTAGGAAATGCGCCACCAGCAGCTCCATCCACTGAATCGTAGAGAGCTGTAGAATATCAACGTTTCCCAATAGCACCTGTATTAGCTTCTTAAGACCAAGAAGCGTCCCACGGTGGTTGCATTCCGCCCAAAACACACTATTTTCAAGCTTGGAAACCTGACTTCGCCATTTTTCCCTCGCCTGCATGTAATAAAATCTGAGAAACTAAAAACTTTGCTGCAACCACATCAAACCTTAGAAAAGTCAGGCTTAAAACCTATAGCAACACCAGGACTTCCATCAGGGAGCCTCGGGCGCAGCCGCGGCATTTGCATAATGAGCAGCGTAACTGCTTCTACGAGGCCATTTTCAGTCTGCCAAGACATAAAAAAGCATCCGGAAGTTAACGCAAGTCAACAAAACAGCATGGTGAAAGAAACCTGCCGGTCATCAAGCTGATCCAATCGATACGATCCATGCATCCGCAAGAACGCTATCTGGAAGATTAAGATTTACCAATGGAACTTACACGCACAGTTTTCCAACTTACAACAACGTCAAGCCATCCGACTGACAAGGCCGAGGCCATTGCATCCCAGTAAGCTACATCGTCTTCGGGAAACTGCAAGTGCAAGTTAAACAACGATACACAAAGAGAAAACAAAAAGCTGCAAGACTTTGAACTTACTTGAATCTCGGAAAGCTTCCGCTGGAACGACACTACCTTGGAATGTACAGTGTCTTCATCACTCAAGAGGACTTTTGTCATACTCCTGCAAAGCTCACAGGCAAATCAATCATAAGTCAAAAAAATAAAATAAAAATCACTGCTTCTTACCGCTAGCCAGTCTACAAAACGCTCCGGAAGCCACCATGTCGCGCTTCTGTCCACATAGAAAACTTCTATGAGCTCCCACACAGCCTTAAGCATCGACGTATTCTCCTCCTGCAAGAAAAAAACTAAAAAAAACTAAAAAAATCTTTCACATCATTCGCTCACGTATGATACAATGGCTAACCTTGCCTTGGGTGGGCTGGTCGAAAACGCTGCGAATGCTCTTGCTATACTCTAATACATGCTCCCACCTGCGATCACACCTAGCGTTTCTAGAGTAAAACGAGAAGAATTTTTCATACCAGTCGCCTGTAGCCCAATTGCCGCTGGTTCTGGAGAAGAGCAAAAGCCGGGAGAGAATCATGCCGCCTCTCGGCATCCCATCCTTCTCCCAGATGAATCTCCGTGACTCTTCCACCGCCTCCCACAGCATTCTCGATGTAGGAGAGCTGGAGCGGGTTCCCACGACACCCACAATCGCCCTGGATCCCTCAATCCGCCCGGCACGCTATAGATTACCGCGGCCGAGGAGCTGAGGATCCCTCGGCATCCTTAAGTTAAGAGGTGCCTCCTGTCATGGAGTGAAAAATCTTAGAATTGGCTTGTCCCAATCAGGATGTCGATGGAATTGGACTGGGTGGCAAAGATTGAGTGCCAAAGGTTGGCTCAAAAAACAAACTATTTGTTCTCTGAGAATATCTCGAGAATGTTATTCATTCGCTCCCCGTTCTCCAGCTCCTCGAGACGCTGGATCCCCGGCATCACGCGCTCCAGAATCAGGCCTATCTTCCCAAGATCATCGTCGTGATTGGGCTCAGCATTGCCCAACTCTCGATCCTGATGCTCCCGGCGGACGTCGCGAATCGCCATTCCTGCGAGAAGAATCTCTACGTCGGGGCGTGTAAGCTCACTCTCCCGATGAAGCAGCTATGGTGGGCGGTTTACATCATCGACACTGTGCTCGTCATTCCTTTCGCGATCTTCTTCTACGAGAGCGATCAGGAGAAGTAATCTTCCATCTTTTTGTTCTTGTTCTTAGAATACTCGATCGACCGAGCTCCTCCTAGAGTTTCTTAAGTTCTTTCTATTCCTCCATGATCTCAAAAGCTTTCTTTGTTCGTGGTGATTTCCAGGACTGTGACACAAAGGGTAAAGAACGCTCTCTTGTGGGTGGTGATACTCCTCACAGTTTTCTGCCTCCTTTTGGGAATTCTCTATGGTAAGAAGCTCTTTTCCATCTTTTGTTCTTAAACCCTTTTTCTACGTGATTGCTTGAAGCTGTTATTGGTTATGCCGATTTCACCATGAGAAGTCTTTCATCCACAACGATGGCGTTCATTAATGATTTTAGCTCGCTCAATGCAAAGGCTTCGTGCTTGGTTTCGGCTGGTTTCTCATTGTTTTCTAATGTTACTCTCATGGTAAGCCTTTTCTTTTACATTTTCCCTTTCTTCATTGATCTGACAACATTGTGTGACAGTGTGCAGCTTATATGTCTGGATCTCTGGTTAAAACTACGTGGTCTGTGCGTGCGCCCTTCCCAACTTACGTGATCACATTAAACACAATAATAGGATCAATACTCTTCATGGTAATGTCGTTTTATGTGTTGTTTTCTAGAAGATCTGATTTCCTTCCTGCAGATGTTTGGAGGTGTTGGAATGGCAACATGACCAGTGAGCCTCATATTTGCGTTCAAGTATAGGCCCAAGTGTGTTATTACTCGTGCTCAATACGTAAAGGTGTGTGTGTGAGTTGTTCTCGTTTCTTGCAACTAATATCTTCAAGGTGATCTAGCCAAGTGCTCTAACGAGCTAAAAACGGCGACTTTCGGCCTCCAACGCGAAGAGAGAGGTGGGAAGAAAGGACGGAAGTTTCGACAAAATGTGAAGAAAGTCCAGCAGGTGAGCACCACTGCACACAGAAACAAAAGTAAATGGTGGACGTGATCGTGTTGACAAACGCATATGTGTAGCTCGATTCAGGAGCTTGTCTTTTTGGAAGATGATGTTGAAGCTCTGAACGAGGCATTCCCACAGGGAGAGAAGGTACCGTTCTAGTTTACCATTTATGATTCTACTGCTAGTTTTCTCTCAGGACGGTTCTCTTCTACTTAGCCAAGCTTGTTTTTGGCATTTTCGGGTAAGAAAGTCCTTGAAAAAAAGATTCAGTCTTATTATTTCTCTTGTTGCAGTTTGGCTTTGTCTATACTTTGGCTTCTCCACATCATTGTTTTCATGCTTGCCAATCCTCCAGCTTTTCCGTTTCTGAATCAAGTCTTTATTCAGCTTGACAGTGTTGGGGGTACTTTCTGTCGATGCGATCTCTAGATCTGAATAGTTTCCTTCCTTCCAGGCTTGTTAGGAACCACTGCGTTTGCAATCTTTTGCTACTACCTCGTCATGTCTGTCATATCTGGAGAGATGCATCTGGGAATGAGGCTTCTGTTTCTTTCCATTCATCCAATGAAGTAAGCACTTTTTTTTTTAAATGCATTTTCTAGAATGTAATGGTTTTTATTATGAAACTATAGGTACCAAGGCACGCTCGATCCAATGTGGCACGAGAATGTGATCGCGTCGGGCGCGCAACCGTCGAGCGCGCAACCGTCGAGCGCCATGGATTCCAGCAGCTGGAGCGCCGATCGGCCGTGCCGGCCTTGGCCGTGGCCGTGATGGCGATATTCCAAGAAACCGTGCTCTGTCGATCATTCCCTGGAAGATCTCGCGCGCGTCGTCCAGCCGCCCCGATCGGCTGAAGAGATGGACGAGGGAATTCCCCACCGCACCCTCGCGGTAGAGGCGCTGTGGCGGATATCGGGCAGGATGTGGTGCGCCAGTGATGGATCTTGGATCGCTGTGGCCGCGAAAAGCACGCTCACGATCGTCTCAAGATCCATGATCCGGAAGAGCTGGATCGCGTCGGCATGGCGTCGAGGATCGATCGCGCCTTGCGGAGCTGCCGCGTGCATCACCGCCGTCCAGGTCACCACGTTCTTGTCCAGGGTTTGATCGAAGAGCTCCCTCGCGCGATCCACCAGCCCCGCCTGTGCGTAGGCCGAGATGATCGTGTTCCAGGACGAGAGATTCCTCGGCGCCGTCATCGAATCGAATGCCTGCCGCGCCTCCTCAGCGCCTGGATCATCACGTTCCAGGCAACGGTGTTGCAGTGCTTCATCCGCGAGAAGAGCTCCCTCGCCTGGTCGATCTTCCCCACGGATCCATAGCCCGCGATCATGGACGTGATGGACATGAGATCCGGATGATCCAGCGCGAGGAAGAGCTCCTCGGCGTTGTGCATCAGCGCTCGGCGTAGCCCTGGATCATGCTCAACCACGCGACACAATCCCAGTGAGGCATAGCATCGAAGACCGATCGCGCGAGATCGACCTCCCCGGAGGAGACGCAGGCGTGGAGGAGATTTTTCCATCTCGAGACGTCCCTCTCGGCCATGGCGTTGCGGAAGAACTCCTGGGCTTCGCGAATTTGCCCGCATTGGGCAAATGCTGCGATCATCGCGTTCGCCGAGACGACGCCCCGGGCAGGCATCCGCGCGAAGACCTCCCGCGCCTCGCCGATCCGGAGGCGCTGTGCGGCGATGGTGAGCATCGAGTTCCAGGTGATGACGTCGCGGCGGGGGGATTCCACGAACAGGGATCGCGCGTCGCGGAAGCAGCCGTTCTGGGCAAGCGCGGCGATGGTGATGTTGATGGTGAAGAGGTTGCGGACGCGGAGCTCGCGGAAGACGGCCATGGCGCTGGCAATGGAGCGGCAGGCGCCATACATCTGGATGAGGAGATTGGCGGCGAAGAGATCGGTGTGCCAGCCAGAGCGGACGATCTGCGCGTGCAATCGCCGGCCGCCCTCCAGATCCCTGCCCGCGATGCATCGCCGCAGCAGCACGACGTAGCCCGACGCCCCGGGATCGCTCATCCTCCTCGTCCCCGCGCATTTCCAAGGAGGAATAGTCTGTCGTGCCCTAAAATTCGTTTGAGTTTAAAGCAGATTCTAAGGATAGGCATAATCTACGTCAGCCCTAAATTCTAAGGTAGTATAATCCACGTCCGCCCTAATTCTTCTATGGCATATTCTTATTCTGTGTACTCGCGAGATCCACTTGTGTTCGAGAAGCCTTTTAGCCCTGGTCGTCTGAGGCCTGCTCAAGAGCAAGCAGTCCTTGACTTCTGTAGACTGGAGCACGAGTCCGAGTTGATGGAAGTCGGATTAAATCGTGTAGCGCCAGTCGGCCTCCAGCCTTGTCGCGATCCAGCCTTTAAATCGAAACGCTGGCACTTCTTCATTCTTGCTGACGCTCTCCAGATCGATCAGCACGTACTTCTCTTTCGAGTAGTCATACATGATCTTGTGCAGGATGAGACAGACACTAGAAGAAAAGAAAATTAAGAAAGCTTACCATCTTTGTGCAAAGCTTTCAATCCTCATACGCCATGTCGCACATGTCCTCCTCGTTGTTGGGGTATTTCTTCACACAGAGCGGTAGAGTTTCCACCTCGTAGACCGCCTTCATCGCCTTGATCACTTCCGTGCTCTTGGTGACCGTCGCCAGTCTCGCTCTCTTTCTCCTCCTGCCGCCACTGCCGCTGCTACTGTCTGATGAAGAAGATCGTTCTGATGATTCCGAGATATCAGAACCTAAGCGAGAGGACGTGTGCTTCGGGATGGCAGAGAGAGTCACCTCGCGCATGAGTTCTACCTCCTTGGACTCAAGTGTAGGCCCAAACACGCTACTGATCATATGTCCTCCAGCTTCTATGGCGGCGATGTAAGCGGCCTCGAGACCAGCAAGACAGACCTCGTGCTCGGAAGAATACACTTCGAAGTCTATGATTCTCTTCATTTCGCAGTGACCATGGGGAACAAACGTATCAAGTGGAGGCCTGAAATGATCTACTCAGTACGGAATCGGTGCGAGCTTGTTCATCACTCACAGGGTTTCAGCGGCCACGCTCACATCCATTCATAGCAACAAGAAGTAGAGCTTGCTCAGTCCATCCAGCACGTC